TATTTCTGATGCTAAATTACTGAGCTGCTGTACAACATTATTTGATTTAGGATGTTAAAGTTTCAGATAGTGTGAAATGTTTTTTTCTTGATGTGCTTATAGCGACATAAATGACTTTACTAGATCTGTGCTGGCATTCCTAAGTTATCTGTTTTTAGCCTTTTATAAACCGCCACTATGATTATATGATGTAGCCACTGAAATTGTGGAAGGTAGGCTTATGTACAGAGGAAAAACTAAATGGTAATATGTACACTGTATATCAAAATTTTCTTACATGGTGGTTAATTAGAGCCACACAAAATTATCTTTTTGGAATTAAGGCACACAAATTATTTCTATTTACTTACCCAAAAAAAAATTATTGCCACCAAATTTATGCTTGAAAAATTAAGTAATGATCATTTGAAGTAATTTATGGTGAGAGAATACCGTTTTGGAGCTTTTCCAAATGTTTAGCACCCCAATGATTACTTGCCAAGTTACAAGAAAAGAATGATAGGGATTGAACCATTTTTGGGCAATCAGTTTAAGTACTGCACAAGAAAGAGAAGCAATAGACAAGACCGGAATAATCAAATTATACTTCAAACCAATTTTAGACAAGGTTTCTTCAGGCAAGAGCATACAAGGCCCTAAGTTGTGTGCATTTTAGTAGGCTTGGGGCTCTGGAAAGCATGACTCTATCTTTTAATCAATTTAATCATATCATTTTCTTTTCTTTTCTTTTCATTAATTAATAACCATTGGCTAACATGCTCTATATCAAAGACCATATTGTTTAACAAGGAATGTAAAGCAAAGGTTGGAGTTGGGTAACGGAAGGGTTAGCAGGAGAGCCTTTACTATTTTAATGGGTTTGACTCCCATGCCGCAACAGGAGATTTTTCCATAATTCATATTATAACAATAGCAATATCTCCCAGCCCCCCTTTCCAACTTATCTTATTTGAGAACTAAGGAACCTAAATGAGAATCTATCCTGGGAGAGGTATCCAAAACTAGAGTTAGCGTTATTTGTTTCAGATATTTGGTTTTATTGAATTTCATGATTTTATGGTTGGCTACTCGTGTTAAATATTGTTCCTCATGCTCTATTTAAAATTTTTTTATGATAATATCGTATATGCTTAAGATTATATGAGTTTCCTTTTAATTATTATGCATTTGCAATATCTTAGTTGATATGCTAAAAAAAATTCTGTTTATTTTTTTTCAAAAACTAAATAAATTTATCTTGTATTAATATATTGAATCATTTCAGTTGTGCCTTGAATACATTTGCAAATTGAAAGAATACATGTGTATTTTTTTAGCTAACCGACTAAATTGATATGCTCATTTTGATGTTGATTAGTTGTATATTTTCTAAATTTCATATATAACTATATTTGTTGTGGGCAAACTACAATGACCTCCCCTGGGGTTTGGACTAATTGCAAATAAAGCTGAGGTTTGCATTTTCTTGCAGTGTGTTTCTCTGAGGTTTGCATTTTCTTGCAGTGTGTTTCTCTGAGGTTTGCCCCAATTTTGCAAAGACCTCCCCTCCGTACAAAAAGTAATACTTTTTTGTTAGAAAATTGGTTTAAAGTGACCAAAAGGCCCATCAGCTAAATGGAAAGACCCTATTACCCTTTTAGTTTCATGAAAAAAAATATATATTCTTGCATAAGTGGACCAATGTTAAATTAAATTAAACCCAAATGAAATTCAAATGCAAATGCAAATGCAAAGATCCCATTTTTTGTGGACAAAAATATCCTCAAGAAATAATGCCACATCATTTAAAAATGGACAATTTAAGTAATTTCAAAAGCCTAACTTCCCAGTCTTCTCCATCTATCTCTTCGTCCCCTCTCCTCTGAACGGAGACAACCACCATTAGCAGAATCCCCCATAAACACCACCACCATCCCCATCCAACAACCATCTCCACTCCCATAAACACCACCACATCTTCATGTCCTTGATGGTTAAATAAATATATATATACATACATACATACATATATATATATATATATATTTATTGAAGACCATTAATGAATATTTGAAGACCCATTTATTACTGTACCCAGTAATATATATTACTCACTTTCTCCCTATTTCCTCTGGGAAAAGAAAAGGAAAACGTATCATTCCAGTGTTTAATTATATATCATTGTTAATTGGGTTATATGTATATATATACAATTGTTCCTGTTCAAATTGGGTTCCATTGTTCTTTGTTCATTGGGTTATTGTTTTGGTTCCATCGTTCCACTGGCAGGCACAATACACAGCTGCCCAAACTGAATGGAGTAGCAATTTCCTACGTGTAGTCGTTGATGCGAATCTTTGCGCCAGTCTCTTCGTGGAGTTGGCGGATAATTGTGCCTTCTTTGCCGATGACGCTGCCGGTACGAGTCCCCGGTCACAGGTTGCGGAAGAGGGTGAGAGGAGGCGGTAGTTGCTTGAAGGTAAGGGATGAGGGAGGGGGACGATGGTGGTGGATGGTGGCGGTGGCGTTTGGTGGAACAAGTGGTTGTGTAGGGTTCGGTTCTGTCAACTATGGAGTGATCAAAGGGAGTTTTTGGGAAGAAATGAACAAAGCTTCGGTTAACACTTAGAGACGCAAATTGTGTGGTTGTGTGTTTAGGGGCAAAATATTCATTTTCTATTATTAGATATTTTGGCCTTTTTTTAACAAAGGGTAGATAAGTGAATTCACTACAAAATATGACATAGGGGGTCTTTGTAAAAAAATGACAAACCTTCGGTTTCTTTGCAATTAGTCAAAACCTTAGGGGAGGTCATTGTAGTTTACCCATTTGCATAGTTGTCAAAGGCGCCGAAGGCGCGCGCCTGAGGCGCAAGGCGCCTCCAGGCGCCAGGTTAGCGCCTTGAGTCTACTCAAGGCGGTTGGGTTATATAAGGCGTGCGCCTTTACGATCAAGGCGCGAGGCTACAGGCGCTAGAAAGGCGCGCCCCGCAAGAAACTTTTGTTTTTAACTTATTTTCCTTATTATTTTTTGTTTTGTTTGTGACTCTGTAGTCTGTAACTCTGTATTGTTATATTATTTGTATTTTGTGTTGTCTTATTTTAAACTTGAAAAGTTGAAAGCTCAAAGCCAAAGCCTATTGCAAGTTTGCAACATAAAAAACGAAAAAAAAAAGAGAAGCAAAGGAAAGAAGAACACAGACAGAGGCAGCGAAGTACTCACTCGGGACTCTCGGATCTGCGTCGGTTCTCTCCAGGTTAGTTCTTCTTCTTCTCTCCTTCTTCTCTCCTTCTCTCCTCCTTCTCTTCTTAGATTTGCCGGATCGGTGATTCGGTCAGATTTTTTTTTTTTTTCTTCTTCTTCTCTTCTCTCGAGTCTGGGCCCTGGGGCCTCTCGGCTCTTTCTTGCTAGACATTTTATGTCATTTATTTCTATTTTTCTTTTTCTTTTTATTTTTTTTATTTATTTTTTTGCCTCCAGTTTTATTCTTCTTTTTCTTTTTTTCTTTTTTTCTTCTTCTTTTCTTGAGTCTCGGCTCTCTCCTGGCAGATTTGTTTTTTTTTTTTTTTTTTTCTTCTTTTTATTTTTTTATTTATTTTTTGTTTCTCCAGTAATTTTTTTTTTTTTTCAGTCTCGGCTCTCTCCTGAGTCCCGAGTCCTGGCAGATTTTTTTTTCTCTCCTCTTCAGTCTCGGCTCTCTCCTGCCAGATTTTTTTTTTTTCTTCTTTTTATTATTATTATTTTTTTTTCTTACTCCAGTTTTTTTATTTTTTTTTTCATTTTTTTATTTTTTATTTATTTATTTGTGTGAGGTACTTTATATTAACCTGATTTATTTGTGTGAAAAGTTGTATTTGTTCCATTCTAACATGTTGTTGGTTTGAGGAAATGCATTGCACATTCAATATCCGATCATAGTTTAGGTCTGCATCGAGTGGTCTATTAGCATCCTTTGTTAACGGGACCATACCGGGCATGACCCTCTTTGTTTCAGCATGATCTCCCACTCGAAGCATAAGTTTTTAGGCGTGCACAGAGGCACGCAGCTCACTAGAAATATTTCAATACTAAACCGTTGGTAAACCGTATCCTTTCTTTAGGCGATCAAGTAAACAACAAAAATGTGTAGTATCGGGAGAATGAATAACAAACTGCAGTTTAACTGATATGTCAAAATGTTGTAACAAACATAGCAACTATGTGCATATTCTCTAATCCATATCAAACCAAATTTCTTGAAATGCGACAAAAGCAGAACATAGTCAAATCTTTCCTTTAGTCCTGCATTAAACAAGGGCATCCAGCGGCCAAGAGTGTTAAGAGTAGAGTCACAAAGTCTCCCCTATATTAGATCGAAGAACTGGAAAATATTACTTCAGATATTAGGCATTATAAGAATCGACTCAATGTGACACAATGAATTTTCCCAGTCAGTGTCTACTTAGAACATAATAATAATAATAATAATAATAAATTAAAATAAAACAAATGAAAAGTTAATAAATTATTCAATATCCGGATTTGCACATTCAGAGTTTACCATTTAATAATAATAATAAAATCATAGCATACGTCCAATTTGAGCTAGTGACCAAATTCTAATGAGAGTATGAGACCTTAAAGAATAATATTTTGTTTTTTGCATTCTGCCAAAGCTTTGTATTTATTTTTTTAAATTGAAATGTTAATATTGCTAATTGCTTTGAAGCTCTGTATTTATTTATTTATTTGCCAGAGTTGTTGCAAACACTGATTACATGATGCTATTATTTTGTTATTTTGAATTTGATTGTAGTTTGTACTTTAAAAGATGCCTAGTGATGGTTCAAGAAAGGATCCGGCATGGAATTACTCACATTTGGAGAATCCGAAAGATACAAATGCCGTCACTTGTAACTTTTGTGCAAAAGTTACAAAATGAGGTATTTATCGAGCTAAACAACACTTAGCTGGAGGGTATAGAAATGTGAGTGCATGCCCAAGATGCCCATCTAGTGTTAGAGAAGAAATCAAAGAGTACATGAGTAAGAAAAAGGAAGAAAAAGATCAAATGAATTTGTTACCTAGTGATGAAATTAATTTCATTGATGGAGAGGATGAGGATGACATTATGGAAGTTAACAATCGAGGAAAAAGGGTAGCCAGTGCAGGCAGTGCTAGTGTCAATTCCTCAAAGATGCAAAAGCAAAAGGGACCGATTGATTTATATTTCACTCCCAGACCGGAAATTGTGGTACAAAAAAGAAAGGAGGGGGGAAAACAAACAGCCATTAATGATGCATGCAAGAAAGAGTTGAGAGGAAGAGCGTGTGCTGCTTTTGCAAGGTGGATGTATGATGCAGGAATTGCATTCAATGCTGTTAAGTATGATAGCTTTGCCGAGGTTGTTGAAGCAATTGGACAATATGGTCCTGGCATGAAACCACCTAGTTATCATGAGGTGAGAGTTCCTTTGCTTAGGAAGGAATTGGATAATACCAATGCTTTAATGAATGACCATAGGGAGGAGTGGTCAAAATTTGGATGCTCGTTAATGGCAGATGGGTGGACAGACAAGAGAGGGAGAACATTGCTTAATTTCCTAGTAAATAGTCCAAGGGGAACCATGTTTATTGAGTCGATAGATACTTCTTCTTTTTCAAAGGATGGTGACAAGATGTTTGACTTACTTAATAAATTTGTCAACCGCATTAGAGTAGCAAATGTCATCCAAGTCGTCACAGATAGTGAGTCAAGCAATAAGTATGCCGGTAAGAATGTTCAATGTTTATAACTTTTAGAATTTACATTCTTTACAAATATATAATTTAAATCAAATTTGATTTACTCATTCTCTTTATATCATTTATTCTTTTTTCCGTTTGGTTTCAAATAGGGAGGATGTTAGAGAAAGAACACCCACATTTGTATTGGACCCCATGTGCTGCTCATTGCTTAGACTTAATGTTGGAAGACATTGGGAAAATATCGTCTATCTCTAGAACAATGCAGAGGGCAGTGGAGTTGAATAGTTATATTTATATGCGACCAAAGTTGTTGAACATTATGAGGAACTTTACTCACAAAAAGGAGTTGCTTAGGCCTGCTAAGACTCGATTTGCTACATGTTTCATCACATTATCAAGTATTCACAAGCAAAAGAATAACTTGAGAAAGATGTTTACTTCAGAAGAATGGAATCGTAGTAAATGGGCGAAAGAGGAAGCCGGTAAAAGAGTTGCTTCTTATGTTTTGATGCCTTCCTTTTGGAACAACATTGTCTTTAGCCTTAAGGTTTCCGGTCCTCTTATTCCGGTTTTGAGATTAGTTGATGGCGAGAGAAAGCCTCCCATGTGATACATTTATGTGGCTATGGATAGGGCTAAAGAAGCCATTGTAAAATCATTTGGGGGAGTAGAAGATAAATACTCAGATATTTTTGAAATAATTGATAAGAGGTGGAATGTTCAACTTCATCGCCCTTTGCATGCAGCAGGTTATTATTTGAATCCAGAATATTTTTATTCAAATTCGAAAATTGAAGAAGATGAAGAGATTGCAAAGGGTTTGTATGCATGCATTGCAAGGTTAGTCCCGGATGTCAAAGACCAAGACAAAATTACTGAGGAGCTGTCCTTATATTCTAAAGCTGAGGGCCTCTTTGGTAATCCCTTTGCTATTAGACAGAGAAGTACACGAGGACCAGGTAAAGTGGTAAAGTATATTAAGTTAGTATAGCTAAGTGTTAAAATTATTTTGACAATAGAGTCGATAGAAAGATGAAACTAAAGTTGCTAAACATCATTATTAATTTTTTTTTAATAGCCAATTGGTGGGAAGCTTATGGCAAGTCAACAAAACTTCTCCAAAAGTTTGCTATAAAGGTTTTAAGCCTTACTTGCAGTTCTTCTGGTTGTGAACGAAATTGGAGCGTGTTTGAGCATGTAAGTATATACTATTTACTAACTAGGTTTGTAATTTAATTGTTGAAAATTAAAAATTTAATTTTTTATACTTACTAGTTAAAGTTGAATTTATTGCAGCTTCATAACAAGAAAAGAAATAGGCTCGCTCAAACAACGTTGAATGATTTAGTGTTCATCAAATATAATAGAGCATTGAGGCGTCGATATAATATGCGTGACACTCTTGATCCCATTTTACTCGATGACATTGATGAGAGCAACGAGTGGTTGACGGGGAGGGTGGATGATTCTAATGCAGAACATGATCTAGTCTATGAAGATGATTCCTTGACATGGGGTGATGTTGCTAATTTTGCTGGTATTGGAGAGGCAAGCAGGCCGCAACGGTCTACTAGATCAAAATCTAGTTCTAGTTCACGGTTACCAACAAAAGGAGCAGGAAGTTTTTCAGTTCGACTTGTGGATGAGGATGAGGATGATTCAGATGAGATAGAAGAGGATCCTGAGAATTATGAATCATTTAGTGACGATCAAAATGATGTTATGCTTATTGATGACGAGGATGATATTTAGATTCATTGGTGTTGTCTTCTTAGGAAGAATGATGTTTATGTTTGTTTTACTTTTATCTTATACTTCTCCTTAGTTGACTTTTGCATCTTTATGTTAATATGTTTGATTATTCACTGTTTTGAACTCAAGTACTTGATTTACTTGGTTTTGGCATCTTTATGTTGAATATTTAACTTAAGTAATTCATTTAGTTGACTTTTACATCTTTCTATATATTATTGCATGATTTGCATTTTTAATACTTTATTGGGTGGGTTTTGTTTTTTTTTTTTTCCAACGTGCGCCTTGCTTCAGTCGGGCGCGCGCCTCGCCTTGCGCCTCAGGCTCCAGGAGGCATTTGCGCTTTTGTGCGCCTTGAGCCTTTAACAACTATGCCCATTTGTTATTCATATCTATCACACACGTGCTTTAATTTGCTTTGGTTTGCACTTTATGTATATTGATTTAGCTAACTCACTGAACAGGTATGCTGGAGAATTCTCTTTTTGATATTATCTAGTTTATATTGCATATGTAAAAATTTCAATGACATGCATACTTAAATATGCATTTCTATTGCACATGACTTTGTCTATTTGTGCTTGCGCATTACAATATGTATTGCTTTTAGTTCTAAAGACTATGCCATCAGACTACGCCTTGAGCCTTCGACAACTGTGAGTTCCGCTATGTTACATGGAGTGAGGTATGTGTATCGGGTGTGGGTTCATGTCTAAGTGTCAGACTCAATCTTAGGACATGCAAAAACGTGTCCATAGATTCGATACAGATATACACATATTGCGCATTTGAATACTTTAGATGTTGTACAACAGTATAAAGTCTAATGTTGTTGCATTTTTAGAATATACTCAATTATGATTTAAATTAAAGACCATGTAGTAAAAAGTGATTTTCACCTATTTCTAAAATAGGGAGCTCTTATCTACTATCAAATTTGATATTTTAATTAATTTTCACAAGTGAAAGATTGAAGTGTCCAATTTGGGTTTGGATGTTGAACACATATCCATACCATGTTGTGATGTGTTGATACGAGTACGTAAAGGGAGGTAAGAGGGTCCATGTAACTCTGGATTTCAGTTGATTGTAGTACTTACTTTTGAAGGTCACCCACAGGATTTTCATGGTTAAGGATTTTTCAGTCAGCCTTAGCTGACAGGATTGAGGCAGCTTTCCTAGCAGAGCTAATCCCAATCAGATCTTCCCTTTAGGTCTTACTCATCTTGTTCCAATCAACAAACTTACTTTTCCTTTAGTCAAGATATTATTAAATTGAAGAGACTTCCCTAATAAGTTTATCATTTATATATTGTATTTCAAAAGGGCTGAGGTTACAACTCGAACAAGGTGAAAGCTGTTGGAAGCATTTTGGCCAAGATCTTATATGTGATGTTGCAAAGAGAGATCTAGAGTGGGTGGTGGTTTCACAACTATCAATTTTGGGGATCAAGATGGAGAATTCTGTTGTTATCTCTGAAATTTCTAGTTGACATTGCTCAACTGATCTTGCTATGGATTATTTTGCAATAGACATTTGAAAGAAAAAAGGTCCGGGAACCATCAGGGACCAAAGTTCAGTTATAGGCAGGGTTTGTCAGTTGATATGTCATTGCTAAACTGGTTGCTGAAGTCCTCCTGAACATGGTTTTTGAGAACATCGTGATCAGAAGTCCAATTGCCTTTAGGGTCCTTTAAAGTTTTCACTTTATTTTCCCTTCTGCTGCTAATGATTTTCGAAATAGACACCTCCTGTTTTACTCCCCACAAGTGATCCACATTACTCTGGACCTTTGAAGTCAGTCCATTTCTTCTTGTTAGGGGATCTTACTATAAGATTTCCATGAAGTCTGTGTCTTCTTCCAAAAAGATTTCCAAGGAAGTCTAAACAGCTTAAAACCTAGTAGTGATTTTTCTCTTGTTTCTGAAAGAATTACCAAAATCATTTCTGTTCCATTCCTTCACTGTCTTCGGAAAGAAATAAGAAGCTACTACTGAATCATTGAGGATTTTTGGGAGATCTGTTGCCAGGTTTTCTCAAGTATTCCTTCAAATTGTTCATGGGCTGTCCAGGAAATTTGAGCCGAAAGGAATTTTTGTACTAGATATACTTGACAGTTGATGAAAAGAGGGTTAGGGCTTAATGAGTATACCCAGGCAAAGGACTATGAGTATCTTAGTTCTGTTATGTTTAGGATATGGATTGCCGATGACATTGAAAATGAAAGTAGGATGAAGATTTTTTTTTTTTTGATAAGTGAAAATTGGATGAAGATAGAAGCAATTACGAAAAAAAAATGCAAAGATTTAAGGTAGGCTTTAGATATGCATGTTGGTGATAGAACACTATAATTTGTGCATTTGTCTACTCTGTTTTTTGAGGAGTACAAGCATCTCTGTTAAAATTGCAGTCCTGAACTTGCATAAGTTTTGACTCCGATGAGAGTACTCTTAATCAACAGTATTGTACTGTCGAGGCAGATTATTTTTGGTCAAAATGCTCAAATTAGAGGAGACATGCATGTTGGTGATAGAACGTGGGACAGAAGTCAGAAGCTACAGAATCATCGAGGATTTTGGGGGTTCTGTTGCCAGACTTGCTCTACGATTCCATCAAATTGTTCGTGGGCTGTCCAGGAAATTTGAGGGGTGAAAGGATTGTTTGAATTAGACATACTGGACAGTTGATGAGGAGAGAGTTGGGACTTAATGAGTAATAACTAGACAAAGGACTATTATGAGTATTTTAGTTCATAGTTGACAGGGTGTTGTTTTTTTATGTTGGGATAAAGGCATATACTATATGATTTTCCTTATAAATAGTTTGTGGATGCACCTCGCAAGTGACAGTTTCTGTTTTAATGTGATTTTTTTTTTTTTTTTTCCCCATAAATTTTAATGTGATGTTTGTTATAACAAAATAGAGTATTTATTCTTTGATGACCATTGTGACATTTGGTGACCTTCTACATTTAGAAGTACTACCGAAATGTTGTGGGTTTATATATATATAATATGTCCATTGCTGGTGCTTTCTAGTTATTAATTTTTTTTTTTTCTTTTACAAATCTACTCAGTTCAACCTTTACCCTTTCTTCTCTCATTTTATCGTCTCTCAATCAGAACACAGGGATTTCTAGCTCTTTTCACTGGTGATACTGGTGAAATCCGTGCTGAAGTGAGGGAACAAATTGACACGAAGGTTGCAGAGTGGAGGGAGGAAGGGAAGGCAGAGATTGTGCCTGGTGTTCTCTTCATTGATGAAGTGCACATGCTTGACATCGAGTGCTTTTCTTTCTTAAACCGTGCTTTGGAGAACGATATGGCACCTATACTGGTTGTTGCTACCAACAGAGGGATCACTACAATCCGAGGCACAAACTACAAATCCCCACATGGGATTCCAATCGATTTCCTTGATCGCCTGTTAATCATTTCCACACAGCCTTATACAGAAGAAGACATCCGCAAAATTTTGGACATTAGAGGCCAAGAGGAAGACGTGGAAATGTCCGAAGATGCAAAGGTTTTACTGACAAAGATTGGGGTAGATACATCCCTGAGATATGCCATCCACCTCATCACATCTGCTGCGTTGGCCTGCCAGAAGCGCAAGGGAAAGGTTGTGGAGATGGAGGACATCAGTCGAGTTTACGAGCTGTTTTGGGATGTAAAGAGATCGACACAATACTTGATGGAATATCAGAGTCAGTATATGTTCAACGAAGTGCCAACGGGAGAGGGGGACGAGGATGAAGCCAATGCCATGGTTTCTTGAGAAATTCCTGTGACCGGAGATGTTTATGATATTATATGTCATGTCATGCTTTGTTAGTTTCAGGCTGCACCAACTTATTTAGATGGGCTATAGTGTGCTTACCATGTACAAGTCTGTATGGACAAAACACAATGAGTTAAACAAATGTTGATTATTTTTCTGTATACATATTCCTTTTGATCTCCTTCTGTAGCGGAATTATTCAAAGGTAGTTCGTATAGTTTTTCTACTACGAAGTATGAACCGTTGTGCTTCAGTTTTGCTTCCTTGGACAGGAATGAGGTTTGTGTCTTGGTAGTCGATGTCAAGAATTATGTTTGATCCGACCATTTCGTGGCGAAGTACTGTGTTATCCGAGAACGTACCATGTTTCGAGACTGACTTCTCTTATAATATTCAAATTTGCAATAAGGTTAGCACCTTGAGCAATTATGCCTTGCCTTTTTGTAGCCGAATGTATGAAAAACGCTTTACAAACTCGATCAATGCCTCGTATATTTGAACCATGCTTTAAACTAATTAATATACACTATGAAATAATATTAAAAAACTACAGTAATTAATATACACTGGAGAGGCACCTATGCAAATTCTATATAAGAATTAAAAATATGCATTTCTTTTCTTTTTCTTTTTATACTCCGAAAAGTAGCCATGTTCTCTCTCTCATGCGGGAAAATCAAACGGCACAGATGAAACGGAGGAAAGATCCAGTAGGTCCTGGTGCACGAATCCATAACGACGAAGCACCTGATTATCCGCAAAATTCAAAGCTCTCTCCAACCCCTTCCAGCACGAATCACCACCGTACGCCGGGTTGTGGTCCCCACTACACGGTTGACAGCCCGTGAAGTGCGTGATAAACGGCCTCCGTCCAGTTTCCTTCCAGTAGCCGGCTTCGTCCAGATGCCTCTCCCACAGCGCACCGTAGCCCTCGCTCACCTTCTCTGCATGTCGCCTCCTTAACCTGCGCACAACTTTCTCAATCCCCGCGTACTTATCGGTAATGTTGTAAAGTGTCCCCACTAACCCCACCCAGTACCCTTGAAAGCAGTATTGATTCTCCAAATAAATCTTGGTCGCCCACGTGTCCTTCCCTTCCAACATCAAATAAACCAGAGCCGACTGATCGTCCGACTCTGGGTATTCCTTGTCCTTGAGCGCTGATTTGAAGGTCTCACCCCATTTCTCATAGTTTGGTGTTTGTGGGCCCATGCTGGCCCAAACCTCCATGAAGTCTATCGACCATTGACAGTTTCGGATAAGTAAAACCCCCGCGTTTAGCCCAACCCAGCTCCGATGTTCGTAGATCAAACCGGGCCATCCGTCCACCACGAGGTTGTGATCTTTGTACTTCTCCAAAGGAAGCTTGAAGTCCATGTCGGTGAACACGGCGTCCGAGTCGACCCACCAGATCCACTCAGCCTCCGGGTGGGCCACCATCGTGGCCCGAACCACCGGTATTTTGGCCCAAAAAGAGTGCATATTCGGGTGCAAAAGGGCGTTGTTGTAGAAGATATCGTAGCCGTGGATTCGGCAGTAGTCAACCTTATTCTTGAACAATCTCAACAGGAAATGATCACCGATCGGATTACGACAAGCCGACGGCTGTGATCCGCTGACTACGAAAACCCGATCACGTGCTCCGGCGACATATGACGGATGATGCATCAGCCACTCACGTCTCTTCTCATCCCACCCTTTGATTGGTTTCCCAATCGAATAGCTGAGATTGGGGTCGTCGTAGAATGTGGTCTCAGGTGGGTCGTGGATTAGGTTAACGCCCTGCGCCCCATCGGCGCAATCTTTAGTCCCGACGAGCTCTGATGCTAAATTGCTCCTGTGTTTAGCCAATAACCTTGAAAAATGATGCCAAGGCTCAAATGAACAAATAGCCCAAACCAATAAAAGAGCCACCAAAACTCCACCAACAAAGCGTAATCTAAAAAACGACGCCACTTTGTTCTGAAACGTGAATTTCGCCATGGAAGGTGTCTGAAACTTAGACACCTTCCTCGACGCAACTCTAAATCTTGAAAGCATTATTAAAAAGAAAGTATTAAATGCATGTGTTCGTGTTGAATGTCAAGAATCAAACTATAAATGGAATTATTTGGTGTATAAAAAATCAGATATTGAGAGAATAATCAAAACTGGTTAATGGGCCAATAACACTGGTAGGTGAAATCAAATTCCAAGTTTGACTTGGCATATATATGATCAAATTAAGTAAAGTAATTAACACATGGGATGCTAAAAACCAAAATCTTTTATAACTTTTACGCAATCTCTACAAGCTATAGATACAAAGCACGTGTTTGTGTGCATATCAACCAAAAACTAGTATTGAGGGTCGTCTTCTTAATCTTAGAGTAATAACAAAAATAGCGATGAACAAGAATTCATCGAGAGTGATTTGTGTTTAGCAGCACATGAATGGTGCTTTTAACCAGCTTGGAATTTAATTTCACAAAGCAAGTTGGACAAGGACGTGAAGGCAGATATATAAGCAATATAATAAAAAACCAACTATAATCATATATATATACACACACAGTAACTTAATTTGGCAGAGAGTTCAACAGAGAAGAATAAAGAATATGAGAATATACAAAGAAGATAATCAGAAAGATATGTCCGGTTCTTCAAGCAACCGTCAACAGCCGCCCTTCCAACCTCTCACAAATATCCAAATCGTCTCCAACGTCCACAATCAACTCCAGAATAAACCACTCAATTGACCATAGATCCACAAAAATCGTGAGTAAAAAATTGACCCGAGTCATGGTTGCATTTTTTGTGCAGTCAAAATCGCGCCATTCATTAGATTTTGTAGAGCAACCCAAATACCGTACATATCGTTCGTTCAATATTTTATTTGCCATAGGTTTTTTTTGGTAAACAGGAGGGAAAAGTGGTTTTTTTTTTTTTTTTTTTTTTTTTTTTTTTTTTCGGTAAATTAAGAAAAGAAAAAGGTGAATTTGTAACAAGAGGGTTGGAACTTGGAACTATATTTGTTGTGGAGAAATTTTTTTGTTAAGTATATATTATTCATAATTTATTTTTAAAAATTTTATTGGATTACCGTATTTGTATAGTAATTTATTAATTACCATGACTTTTTTATAACATTAATTCTCATTCCCGTCGTTTTCCATATATATATATGTATATATATATATATATATATATATATATATATATATATATATTTTAATACCAAATTAACTAAAGTCACAATTAGTCATTTATTTGTGCACTTGGATTTAATTTGGAGAGACACCAGATAGCAGTAGGAAAAAAATCTCTCCAGTTAGTATGCTCAGTGAGCATATAATAATGGTCATTAACTCCACATCTTCAACATAGTCTTGTCATCACCAAATCAATAAGTTAAGAAAGAAATTTACTTTTATTTTACCTTATGTAAAAAACTCCACTCTATGTGTTATATTTTATACAATATATTATAAAGATAAAGACTATATTATTATATAATTTAACTTTACTTTTTAACTAAAATTAAAACGCAAAATAACTTCACTTTAAAACAATTCAACAAAAATTAAAATATGTACACAGAAGATGTTATTCAAACAAAATTATAAAGAAAAATAAATCATAAAAGAGAAAAAAAATTATTACCAAATAGAGTATAAGTCTCAAATTTTAATTGAGAAGTTGAATATTATTTTTATTCGTATAAGAGAAAAAAAATTATTACCATAATTAAATATGTGTTTCATTATTTACAAAACCCATCCCCGTTTAATATACCGTTTTGAACAAAATGAAGGTAGTTATCCTAAATGAAAATGGAAATGGAGATGAACCTCAAACTGTCATGTTACCATCCCTTAGCATGAACTATTAGGATGGACCAATGGAGTAATAACAAGAAATATCCAACTAAATGGCTAAGAATTCAAACTTTTGAACGAAGAAGAAAGAAATAAAAATAAGAAATTAGGTTAATTGACATTAACATCTACCTAACCGTTTTCAAACAGACATAATTAGACGTGACCAAGAAAGATCCCTAGGGACAGTTTTTCTATTTTTAATACCATAATAATAAATAAATAATCTGGGCCTTCTTCAGATCGGCCCAGTGCATGCCCAAAGTACCAAAATTTGGCCCAGGTCAAGCCCTGCCAGTCTGCCACTGCCTGTCATGGACTCAACTGTGGAGGTCCATTTTTTTCCTTGGGTATGGGTGAGATCAATCTAGGCCAATGTGGGCTTTCTTAAGACATTGGTGACCAAAAGCCTGGCTGGGCTGTTAAATAATGTACAATAGAATTATCCATCAAATTTTAAAATGGGTTAAGTGCAAAAAAAAAAAAACCCTCATTATATAAAATTGTGCAAAAAATACCTCTATTAGAAGAAACAAACACATATAACTCCTTGTATTATCCATCTTTTGAGCAAATTGCCCGCAACTGAATAAATTTGATGAAAAATAGTTGTTGGTGATCTCATTTTTTCTAAAAATCCAAAAGTACCATTTTTATGTAACAAGAATGTCTCTACCAATTTTGTATATATTTGAACAGTGAATGGGTTTGTTTGGATATACTTGAAGACCTATCCAAAAAACTATCTCTCTAATATTATTTTTCTCTTTAAAATATCTATATATTGTCGCTTAGCAATTTGTTTCTAAGAAGACATCATTTTTTTTATTTTTTATGATACTATATTTTATTTAGTTTGTCAAGTGAGATTCTAGCATCTGTACATCATTTATTTATTTATTTTTTATTTTTAGAATATTATTTATTTCAAAATATATATATAGAAACATGATCTGTGATACCCCTCGGATCCGAGACACAGGTTGATCAGGCCCAGGCCCAAACCCAAGGGAATATCAAACAATTAATATTTTATAATGAACACGGAATACAAAATAAATTAAGAAATGAAATTAAAGTTGGAAGGAACTAAAAATAGAATTCGCAAAATATTATAATTATTAAAATCCATCAAACCCAAACTCCAAAACTCCATCAGTTTACAACTTGGGAATCCATCTCTAGTGGACCCCTATTAAACATCCAAACGGAAGATAGAACAACTGTAATAAACGTCCAGAAATAAAATTATAGAGAGAGCCCTACATCGTCGGAAGAGTGAATAGAGACCTCTGCTCAGCACGAACACGTCTAAGCCTGGAACTGTCGTGTACCTGAAAAATAGAAGCGGGTCAGGCCCATGCGCAAGTTCTATACTACTACAATCCAAACAGAGGCCCGATACGCATGTACATCCTAAACAATTCAACAATAGCTAATAGTCCGTAAATATATATATATAGTCACACTAAAGGACTTTCACTGGATTACAGGCCGGTCTCAACCTGAATAGAGGTAACATGCTAAAACGCACACGAAGTGGGCATATGTACCTATACCTAAATAGGGTACACCTCCAACCATCGTAGCCAGCTACACATCCCGATGCATATACGCTCCCTAGCTATCGGTCCTGAGGCTCAAGCTCATACCGAGGCACCATAACAGTACATATATAAAATCCATCCAAAATCCCTGGTATTGCCGCTCAACAAGCAGTTGCCATGACAATACAAATCCACGGAATTAATTTTTAGTTAATCCCATCCTTATTCCAAGTAGGTGGGTAATGGTATTGTTTTAAAAACCAAACCCATCCTTAGTATGCCACCGTCCCATACCGGTGCCTACGTTCCAATCCTCCAGTAGTCAATAATACCAATAAATCAAGTATATATCAACTAAATTCCAACATCCAACATTCAATGTTAGCAGTAATAAAATAAGCATTGATAAACAGGGTTACAACAACAACATATACATGCCCAATTTAAGTTGTTCCCTTTAGTCTGATATAAAGACAGAATTAATTAAAACTTTCATTTAACACCTTACAAATGACATACAGATATGTAGGGTATGTATCACAAAATCCTAACCTCCACAGTTGATACTAATTGTGATAATGTAAACATCAAAACAATATTCACAGTATGTATGTAGACATGCTCAAATTATAGTGTTCCACAAAACCGATCTAGTGTTAAACTCAAATCCTCCTAATATTTAAGTTCCAACAGTTGCTATTACAGAAGTTAAGATAGCTATCATCTAGACCCATCCTTCCAATAATTTATACTAGCAGTGGTAAGGAAAAACGTGAACCACAGAACCATAATGCATCCACAAACATGCTTAGTCTAGGTTGAACAAGCATACAACACTACTGTAACTACCAGTTTCATAGCAAAACAGATATCATTTTAGTTTGGTTTAATCTTCATTAATCTTGAAATCATTTAAGAGTGCAAAGAGTATGAAGCCTAAGGGAAAGAGTAAGGATAGAATCTTGCCTCAGAAATTTTTGTTCAAAGTTTCAACGTCGTCTTCTTAAAAAATCCCGGCGAGTTCCAAAACCCGGTTACTGTTTACGGGCACGAAACACTATTCCCGAACTCAAAATCTGATCTCCACCGTTCAGATTGTGCGACACTGAGTTATGAACCTATCCTCCAAATTTCAGCTCGATCAGACCACGGACGAAGCGGGATCGGATGTTTGATGAAATCTGGGCAGAATGGAAAAAAACCTGTGCGACCTGGTTACTGTTCATGAGTACGAATCACTGTTCCCGAGGTCAAACTCTGATCTTCACCGTTCAGATTGTGCGTCACTGAGTCGTGAACCTCTCCTCCAAAATTCAGCTCGATCGGACCACGGACGAAGCGGGATCGGATGTTTGATCAAACCTTGGCAGAATGTGAAAAACTGCGTTTTTCCTTCTCCACTTCCACAAAACGTGTGCTTTGTTTAAAAAAAACCCTACACAGACGTCTACCTTATACTTATAGAGTTTTCCTACACCCTAGGTTCATTTAAGTCCAACTCACAATCCTAACCGACCCATCCAATTAACGTAGAAACTTACGACGGCTATAATATAAAACCCTAATTTAAACTGTAATTAAAACCCTAGTTAGATATATTTACCTATTTACCCTATTCACCATTAAATACTTAACAAATAATTTAATTGAATAAAATAATAATTTGTAAACCCAATTAAACTAAATAAGACACACATAAAATAAGACACACATAGAATAATTAAACCAATTACACTTAAACCATTAATGCCAATTAAATAATTAAAACACTAACAAGTAATTCCAATCAAATAACTAAACCAATTATACTTAAACCATTAATGCCAATTAAATAATTAAAACACTAACATGTAATTCCAAATCAAATAACTAAAAATAAATATCATTTAAATAAATTAAATCACCACAAAAGAAAACAATTAAGCACCTAATAAAAAAATAATGACACATAATCAAATAAAATGCACTTAAATAATAAATTAAATACCATTAAATACCAGGAATATCCTTTTTAAAATTAGAAGTATTACATCTTTCTTACAAATATTCTTAATTTTCTAATTCTATAACTTCTATATATTTTCCTTCCATTTGTTGAACTCTCATTCTCTAAGAAAATATAGCATCTTTCTCTAAAATTTCTCTGTATTATCTCTCTCTAAAACAGTGCATCTAGAATCTGTTGGAAATGGGGGCATTAAAATCATAAACTTTAGATGAGATTTTGAATAGATTTTGTTAAGAATTGTTTGCGAATCTATAGACGAGCGCGTTCTTCTCCGCAAGGAGATGAATGTGATATATTTATTTTCTCAAATCCGTTTTCAATTGAATGAGAAATTAGCTCCAAAGTAAGGTGTTTGATAAGACTAAATGGGTTTGCAAAATGTGGAAAGTGATTGCCCCACATCAGAAAAATATTAAACTTTAAAGGCTCCATGAGGCCTATATAAATCCCCCATTGGGTTCATTCCAAAGTACTCCAATTCAGAATCATTTTCTCTAATTCTGAATTATCTCCTTCCTCTCTCTTCGTCTATAAGTGTCTGAGTCAGAGAGTACTACACCGAGCCGATTCACCTACTACGGAAGGAAGTAAAAGTTGTATCATAGCTGATAGACGCCACTGAGTCCGATAAATTTTTATTTTATAATATTAATTATACTGAGTCCGATAAATTTTTATTTTATAATATTAATTATACGTATACACATATTATATTTATGCATAATATTTAAATAGTAATATTATAGTGTATAGTATACTTAGATCATATTTTTGGACTAAAATTTTAAGACAAATTCGATTTATATTATAGTTTAATTAGAGCTTAATTTACGTAGTATTTGGTATCTTAATTAAAGTATATGTCAAAGCATATTTATCTCTTACAATGAGTATTCTTCCTCACCGGTCAATGTAGAAAATGGTGATCTCGCCTACCACGGTATGATGTATGGTTTTCTTTCACTTTCAAAATTCATCACCACCAAACAATTTGATACTGAACAGATTCAATTGGCACACTGAAGCTAGAATTTACAAGTTGTCAATATATTTTGTCCGACAAACTAAAAACATGTTCTGAATCATTAGTATCGTGTGATAATTAATCGTCTAGTTTCAGTCAGAAGAAGACTGTGAATCTTGTCTCTTCTCCAATTATTTACTATTTATTTTTTTCCTTCCCTTTTATGGGTAAAGCAAACCACAACAGTTCACATTTTGCATGTGCATGTATCTTGCATAGGCTCCGGTGTACACATATAACAGAAAAGAAACAAGATGATAGCATTAATTACGAGTGAAAAGAAAAAAACAGAATAATAATCATTTATATTTATATTTAGATAGGTGAGAGAAAAAGGAGATAATAGTATTTTTGTTTGGATAAAATAGAGAGAAAAAATAATAATGATAATAAGAATAATAATAACCAAATTAATATTATACATTTTTAATTAGATTGAATATGGGCGGAATATCAATTTTTTCCTTTTAACTTTCGAGGACAATTTTGTAATTATAAAAATATTACTTAATACTTTATCATTGTTCTTCTTATTTTCTCATTTTTCGTTCAATAGCACTTGAAGGATAAGGAGGAATAGCTATCCCTCCAAATCCCTCCCTATTCTTTCTTTTCTCTCTACTAAAACCATCCAAACAGTGACCAAACACCCTTTATTTATCATTTTCTTTCTTTCCTAATCCCTCCAAATCATCACATCCAAACGAAAATGTTTTTACATGCTAATCATCATCACCTCTATTAAATAAAATCAAAATATTTTCACTTCATTTGATTACCATTTTGACCTAGTGTAACGGGTGAGTGCTTGTTAAATAGTGTTGCATACCTACTTATTTATATCCCTATCACATTTCATCTAGATCCGATATGAGACAAATACCTCTTGTAACATTTTTCCCTATCCGAACTCACAATGCCCTCGTTGCGGTCGGACCACCCTGCCTACTCGGGTAGCTCACCTGGATGCCTTCTCAGTCAGGCATTTGGTGTGACACCCGAACAGGGACTGGGTCTGACTCTGATACCAGATACCAACTGTAACAGGTGGACGCTTACCTATTTACGAATTCGATGAGAAACAAATACTCCTTTTAACACCTAATTAGTGGAGCTTCTAGCTCCCCAAATGAGTGTGTGCCCATGTTTCCTCCCTAGTTTGCTAGGGAAATAAAATAAAATAAAATAAATCGTGCACCCCTCATTAATGTGATTAATTGTTACTTCCTATTATCAATACATACCAATAATATTTTCTTATTATTATTACGTTTTGCAACGAACCCACTAACAACAGATGCTAGGATTTTATTATGTTTGGAGCATTGACCCTTAGAATTTGGAATTGAAATTTTTTTGGTAATTTCTTAACTTTGACACTTAATAACAATTTTATTCTAGGAGAAATAGAATATGAGATAAACTTCTTTTGGGTTCACTTAATCAGAAAGTAAAATATTTATATTAACACACATTACACATAAATGAAGCAATAAGAAAGAAAGAAAGAAATAGTATTATAGTGTTGTTTGGTTGGGGAAAGGAATTATTCTCCTCTCTTCTCATACATCGAAGCAAACATGTTACTCCTATACAAAAACATTTAATTAAGAACCTTTCTGCTTCACGAAAAAGAAAACATCATAATCATCCTGCCCAGTAAATAAGAATTGGACAATTATCCTTCAATCATGCATTAGTTTAAGCCCCAAAATCGGACGCTATACCAAGTTGCTTTTTACAAGTTAAGGGGTAAAAGCAAAAGCTAAAGCTAAAAAGAGAATCAATCCTCAATCTTTTTTTTCTTATTGATTCTTTGGTCCAAAAATGAAGCTCAGGTGAGATTGAAAATAAGTGTGTGAAAATAAGTGTAGACTTAGTTGCTTTCAAACAAACAAAATTCTTGTTAAACCATTCCAAGTTTAGAAGATGTGGACTGCAACTCAATGTAGTCAAAAGTTTCACTTCACGACATTCCGTTAATCACTCCCAATTATGATGACCAAGCAAGAAAGAAACATCAAGATCAAAATTCAGGATTTGAATATGACAGATTGGTCAATTAAAAATAAAATTTGATATCATGTTGATTTATTAAAGACGAAAATGCTATAGATATTGACATATCCACATGTATTTAATTCCACACCTAAAATTGGCACCCCTCCACAACATGAGCAAAACTATTTCATTCATGTCCTAATTAATGACTCCTAAATACTAGTATAAAATTACAAGCTATAGCGAAACCGTACAATTTTAATCTACATAACCAAACAATTTGTCATTTTGACAATGAACAGATAACAATTCTACACTAGCATTTCTATGAGAACAATAAAGACACTGAAAATAGTCCGACATTTTAGTTCATCACTGACGTAAAGATGAAATTGTCGTGCTAGGTTATTCATCAATGAAATAACAGTGAAACAACAATTGCAGTTGAAACCACACATGAAAGATGAATAAATCATGTCTGAGTCGCAAAAAGACAGTAAATTTATGCAAGATCAATGTATTCCTAAAATTATAGACATCTCATAAAGCGCAACACAACCACACTCTAGAAGGTAGATGAAAGGGAAAACCTAGAGAGAGATAAAGGTGTCAAACAAACCACAAAAGCTCACATTTGGCACAAGAAGCTTGCATATGAATATGTTAATAAAGCAAAACCTACTACCTTAGGTAAGTAATCCAGAAAACCAGACGTAAATCCATAGTCAGCATCCCGAATTTCATGTGGTCACTTGTGAGATTGTCATCTCCCGGAACTACACCATACACCAAAGAGAATCCCCCGTCTCGCGGTTTTGTAGATGAAACATCATGAGCTTCAAAGCAAATAATTATCAGCATTGCTACGATACAATAACAACACACATGCCTAATGCTTAGTCCATGCAAACTAATTTGCCTAATATGCATAAACTAACTATTTGATCCAGTCCTTAAGTGACGAAAAAATAAATGCAGCAGATAACAAAAATGGCAATCCACGCAAACAAGTTAGGTAGCAATTTCACACATCCAATTGTGCTAGACCCAACAATTAATAAGCATGGGTTTCAATGCAGACTGTTAGTTGGTACAACTGTATGGTATATTGCCCCCATCAATGTACCATCCCTTGGTCGGAGACATTTAATTTGTGAGCTTTTCTGTAGATTAATCTAATAGGAATCTACAATAAACTAATGACCACACTTAGTACCTTCTAACATTCCAAGCATTGTTGTTTTTAGCAACAACAAATAATATATAACCTTCGGGAATGCTTGATTCATTTCCTTCAAAATGTATATAGAGAGGATGGAAATTTTCAGCTCCCTAACACTTGACCTGAATCAACGTAGAAAACTACAATTTACACAGTATTGCCATTTTCCACTTGGACCTTGATTATATGAAAATAGATTAAAACACTGGATAGTGAGGAAAGGAGAAGACAAATCAATTGGTTCTTAACCAGGAAAGAAAAGAAAACAAAAACAGAACGATTAGGACGTGAAATGTCTTCCCAAGTTGGAAAAAAAATTATAACTCTAAAATTGAGTTGATTTCAAAGGGGTAGGGATGGGCACATTAGTTTTCTCCCTTCCATTCTCCAATTATTCTCTATTATATCAAAATGGGTAAAATTTATGAAGTTTCCTCTTCTTTTCTTTTCTCTTCCTTTCTTCCCCATTTCCCTTATCTTCTACTACAGAAAATTATGATCAAAACCGAATCCGAACTTTTTTAAGGCCTGCTTGTGCTTCCAAAATAGAAAACAACATAATTGAGTCAAAGTTCCACCATTGCCATTTTGTATACCATGCTTTATAAAAAGATGCAAAAGGTCTCCACCAACAACACAATACATAAAAATAGGAGTAAAACCTTACAAAGTGAATAATCATAATCATTCTGCCCATCAATAAGGATTGGATTATTATCCTTCAATCATGCACTAGTTTAAGCCCCAAAAGGAGGTAGCCTACCAAGATATTTTACATGTGAAAGGAAAAAAGCAAAGGAGCGAAGCATAGAATCTAAAGGTCCTCCAAATTATGAAGTCAATTATACCCCTATTAGGTCCTTCCAAATTTCCAATTCTCTCTTCAGTAAAGGTAATTTTGGCCAGCTACACTCACCAAAGGAGTTTTATTATTTTTTTATTTTTTTAGCATCAAAGTTGCTTTCAAACAAATATAGAATTTAAAACAATCAAATCAGACATTTTCCTCTTGGTAATCACCCTTAATTATGATGACCAAAGGAAATTAATATCTAAGGTCAAGATTCATAATTTGAATATAACAGACTGGTCAATGAAAACTATATATTTTTATTAATGTTTATATTAGACTTAAATATTGACTTACTAACAAAGACCACATTCCATATTGACATATCCACATGTATTTCTTTAATTCCATTAGAATACATACCACACCACACCACTAAAAGTTACAATCTATTGCGAAACAAATTTTACCTCTTAATACCAATCCTCATCATGTCCCGGGAAATCGAACGGCACAGGTGACACGGTGGATGAATCCAGTAGATCCGGGTGCATGAAACCGAAATTGCGAAGCACCTGATTATCAGCAAAATTCAGAGCTCTCTGCATTCCATTCCAGCAAGTATCACCAGTATACATCTTATTGTGGGCCCCACTGCACGGCTGACACCCCGTGAAGTGTGTGATAAAGGGCCTCCGCCAGCTATACCTTCCATTACCAGCCTCCGTGAGATACTCCTCCCTCAGCGCACTATAGCCCTCGCTCACCTTCTCGGCGTGCCTCCTCCTTAACCTGCGCACCCCTTTCTCTATTCCCACGTACTTGTCACTGATATTGCCCAGTGTTCCCACTATCTCCAACCAATACCCTTCAAAGTAATACTCACCCTCTAAGTAAATCTTGTCCGCCCATTTCTCCTTCTGTTTCAAAAGCAAATAAACCAGACCCGACTGATCATCTGACTCCGGGAACATCTTGTCTTTGAACGTTGATCGGAGGGTTTGGCCCCACTTTTCGTAGTTTGGGGTCTGTGGGCCCATGCTGGCCCATACCTCCATGAAGTCCAGGGCCCACTGGCAGTTCCGGATGAGGAACACACCGGCGTTGAGGCTCACCCAACTCTTGGTCTCGTAGACGAGCTTGGCCCAACCGTGGACCACTAGGTTATGGTCTTTGTACCTTTCCAAGGGCAGCTTGAACTCCATGTCGGTGATGGCTGCGTCCGAGTCGACCCACCAGATCCACTCGGCCTCCGGGTGAGCCAGCATCGCCGCTCGGACCACGGGTAGTTTGGCCCAATACGAGAACATTTTCGGGTGCAGCAACACGTTGTTGTAGAAGATATCGTAGCCGTGGATTCGACAGTAGTCAACCTTGTTCTTGAAGAATCGCAACAACAGATGGTCACCGATGGGGTTCTTACACGGGGACGGCTGTGATCCTGTCACGACAAAGACCCGCTCCGCTGCTCCGGCGGCGAATGACGGGTGGTGCTCCAGCCACTCACGCCTCTTCTCGTCCCAGTCTTTCATTGGCGTGCCTATCGAGTAGCTCAGTTTCGGGTCGTCGTAGAAAGTTGGGTCGGGCGGGTCGTCGCGCAGGTTAACACCCTGCGCACCCTTGGCGCAATCTTCTTGAGATACGCCGTCCGACTTTCCTTCTTCGACTAGGGTTGAGAAACCAGGGTTAGGGTTAGGATTAGGATTTACGAAGGACCAGATAGCCCAAACCGCTAAAAGAACAACCATAACCCCGCCGACGAAGAGAATCCCGTCGGCGAGAAACGACGACGTCTTGGTACGAGCGCTGTGTTTTGCCATGGGTGCTGAGGATTGGAACTGAGAGACCTCTGGAGACACCATTTCAAGAAGAGCTTATCCTTCTGTTTCTTTCGTCTAGTAGTGAAGACTCGTCACCATGATTGATTGATTTTTCCTTTGTTTGTTGTTGCTCTGTTGCTAAATTTAGAAGAGCCTTTTGGCGTGAGAGATATGCTTCCAAAATAGGAGCATATGGGTTATGTGAGAGAAGAAATCTGGCTTTGGCTTTTATCGGCACTGACGGTGAAAGTGGCAGTGGAAGAAGCAGAGTGGAGACGGTGTGTATTAATGGGAAAGGTTGAGGGCATAAATTGAGGCAGTGGGACCACCCTTGCTTATGTGCGTGTGATGATAAATGAAGGACACGTTAATCTCGACACGTGGACGTGTACCGACAAATTAGGCTTGATTTACTTTCTCTTTGCTTGGGGTAATGGAAAATGTTCCCTCTATTTTCCCGTCATTTAACTGACGGCTCGCTATAGGAGCAACACTGTTGGGGCTTTGGCGGACTAACCAGTCATTGGCACATTACCGCGGCAAGAAGGAAAAAATTGGATGGGGAAAAATGAGAAGATTGAATGGATAAGATATCGTAGAAAATAAATTTTATATATATATATATATATTTCTTTTACTTGTTTGGTTAGAAAAAAATTCTAATTTATTATTTTTTCAAAAAGAAGAAAAGATAAATTTTTAATTATTTTTATAATTATATTAAATAATATTTATAATATTATAATTTATATACCCTAATTAAAAAGTTATATAATTTAGAATAGTATTTAATTTAAAACTTATATAATTGTTGAGTTGTTTTCCTTCATTTATTCGGCCTATTTTTTGATAAGTAGACGATCATTTGTAAAAGAAGAAAGATGAATCATCCATTCTATTCTAAATTACAATATAATAAAATACTATACTAAATTATATAAGTTTTAAATTACGATAATATCTTCTATAAATTACAATATAATAAATATTATTAAATATAAAGGTAAAACAATAAAAATTTTCATTTTACTTCTCTTTTAATCAAGCATAGTAAATTACTAGTTTATTTTCTCTTTTATATCCAACCAAATAAAATAAATAAATAAATACATAATTTCTTCCATTAGAATGTCACATTCATCCCTTCTTCCTTCCTCTTCGTCCCATTTTTTTCTTTCCCATTGAGCAGAGCAAGTTATTACCCTTGCAAAGCACGGTTATTTTTTTATTAGTGTTGAATCTTGATACTCAACAAATAAGATGATGGTACTTGACAAAGGTGTTGCTTATACAACCGTATCACTCGTTTTATGGTTATTAACCAAGAGCCACTGGCCTTTTATATGTGTACCACTTGGCTATTAATGAGAGAAAAAACTTGCACTAATCTGTTGCGCCCAGAATTATTTTTTCTTAATTGATCATTTATGTAACTAATAAAAAATAAAATTTTCTAATTGTTTATATTGTATATAAAATAATTAATTAAAAATATTTGATTAGATAATTTATAGCAACAAATTAATGTTAAAGAAAAATTCCGAATCTGCATTTTTTTAACATATCTGAATTGCAGTGGGTAGTCGCACCATAATGTCTCAAAACGAGGCGGCCATAGATAGACTCTTTTTTATTCCTTTGAAGGTGATAATCAATGGGTGATAAACATTCTTGACAACCTGAAGCAAGTCAACAATATCTTCAATTTCCATAATGTTCATCAGCCGTTGATAAGTACCTTCAATAATGATACAACTGAAGCAAGTCAACAATATCTTCAAACAACACAAATGTTTAGTACCCATGGATACCTCCATTAACAACTTTGAAACTTCTCAACCAAGCACTAACAACACTAATGCAAAAACAACTAACCACCTTCAATACATTACTATATATATATATATATATATCAGATTTTCTTAGCTTTCATAGTGGTAGTTCATATACGATCATCTCGTTTATTGCATTCCAACAACACTTTAAAGACCAGGGATGGTAATGGGAGCGGGTTTAGGCGGGTGTACTCTCCCTCGCTCTCGCAACTGTTTAAAAATCTCGCTTCCGTTCCTGTCCAAAATGTCAAAAACGGGGAAACTTTGCACCTTATCTCCGTAACTGTTTAACATTTTTACCTCCGCGGGTACTCATCCCGCCCAGTTTAAAACCATGATTTAATTATTGTTGAAATGAATTTACTCTATGTTTTTTTCCTTCATCTTCAATTATTCACCATTGCAACTTCTCTTTTAATAAAATTCAGTTGTTATTTTAATATTGTAATATAGGGTACTTAATATATAGTGAGAAATATATATACTAATGAAATAAGGATACTTAAGTAATTTGTCTATCTAAATGGGGCGGAGCGGGGCGACCTCCCCCACCCCGGCATCAAATTCGTGCGGATTTTTATTACGTCAAATTATTCCCGTCCAAATAAGCAAAACAGTTCCCTAAAATCGCCAAAAACGGGGCGGGATGGGGCGGGTAACCACAGGACGGGTCAATTTGCCATCCCTATTCAAGACTAATGCAAAAATAATTTTATTCTAAAAGGATTGTTGTGATATTTGAAAATATAAAATATTTATTTATGAATTTAGGGTTAGAATTTTGATTTCCTTTAGGATTGGAATTTAATTTTATAAAGGTTGACTCTTTTTTAACAAATTAGTAAAGCCCAATTGTTTGACAATGATTTGCCACCATTAGATGTATCAAAGTGAATAATTAAGGAACAGCACACCCTAACTACTTGTAAACGCATTCCAATTACTCATCATAATCATAATAAGTCGCACAATATATTTTTTTATAATTCTAATGTAATAACAAAAATTTATTGACGTAATGAGATTCACAACAAAACATGCTATTATTCTATGAAATTTCATATTTTCTTTGTAAATGAGTTATTTTTCTTAGTATTTTCTTTAATATTGCTATTATTATACTATCATTATTTTTATTTTTTTAGTACTTACTTTTTATTGTTATAATTAATTGTATTGGTAAATATTAAATTTGGAAAGTAGAAATAATGTTAGTGATTTTATATTAAAAGGAAAGCATTTAAGTGGGTTTGAAATGAATCTAATGGTCACTATAAAAAGTGCAGAAGATTTTTCTTGTTCCATGGGGGAGTAGTACTATATATATATATATATATATATATTGTTTCACATGGTTAAATTATGTTTAAATCGCATGAGAATATGAGATATTACTTCCTGCGTTGGTTATTTTGTGAGAACTACGTGGTGAAGTATTTCTTTAATGTGTGACTACCAATGATAGAAAGAACATAACAGTACTTTTTAACTACTGATTTTTTTTTCCTTTTCAATTTATCGGTCAAATAATTGATTCAATAACATAACTAAAATGTCATAAATGCGGACAGCTAGGTGTATACATGTATTTGTAATTTAATCATGCTTTTATATAACAGATACACAGATACACTTACGTTGTAATAAAGTCGAGTCATTGTCACTAAATACTCAAAAGTCAAATCTTGTTAATAAATAGAAATCCATAATTAAGGTGGACACTCGATCAGTCACATGAAAGATGATTAGCAACCACCTATAGTCCTCTAAATATATGTAAATAATAAGAGCCCCAACCATGTTGAGATATAACTAAGAAAAAATTGTTAGCCGAGATTTGTAAAGTAATGGTAATATTTGAGGCTATTCTTGGAAATGGAGACTAGATGCGGGTGATGAATCATGGTATGTTTTAAGAAATCAAACACAGTCACCACTATAAAAATAATAAATAAATAAAATTTGTTAGGTAATTTATTTATTTCAAAATCCCAAAAGAAGGATGAGCGGTTGAAACCTAATTAGTGGACAAATGTGCCTTGTTTATACTGAAGTTTGCAAGAAAATAAGATTTGAGCTCTCTCCCATTGTAAAATTATTAAGAATTGAGAGAAAATACTGGTGAGAGAAAAAAAAAAAAAAAAAAAAAAAAAAAAAAAAAATGATCCACCAATACATACATGCATATATACCTTTCACAACTAAAAACGTTGATGTTTTCTAGGGTAGACCCCAAGTCAGTCTGTATCCTATGCCTTTCACGAGATCCACCACTGGAAAGGACGAAGCCAACCGACCAATAGTGACGGTTCAAAAACTGCAAGGACCCAGGACATGTGACCATCTGACACTGGTGGCCCCGAACAAAATTCAAATAATAGATATTAGATTTATATATATATATATATATAAATTTAATTGTCATTTCCCCCCATTGGAGCTTTCATAGCTCAGTTGGTTAGAGCACCCGTTTAGTAAGCGGGAGGTCTTGAGTTCGACTCTCAATGAAAGCAACGTTTACCTTTTTACTTTTTTTATATGTTAATTTACAGGAAATGCAGATCCGGTAATCAATATGAACCAGTTATTAAGAACTGTATTAGCTTATCCCATTTTCAAAAAATCAGCCATGTTATTAAGATGGAATAAATAAATAAATTACATATCTTAATAATCTTATAAGCACAAAGCTTGTATTTTTAACTGAATATTACTATCATTTGCACTTTATTGCAGAAAATTGAACTTGAATTTGCATCCACAGCATCAATTACAAAATATCAAGTTACCACTTTAAATTAAACCCACAAGGGCTAGTAGGTAAAAGTGGTAATTAGTCCCGGCTTCCCAACATGCTTATCAAGAACAGACCACTGTTTATGTCCAGCCTGAAATTATTCCTGCAAAAAACAACCATTCGTCATTTCAATACAAAAAGTTCCAACACACATATGTCAACAATCTGGCGAAATTTCGGCTGAAGAAATGGAAATTTTAAATTAAAAAATGTGCTACCAAAATTTTGGGGTGAAGAAATGACCTAGAAGCAATGATAAAATTACAAGTTTTTCTATGCATCTACTCAGTTACTATGTATACCTACACCTACTTAGTTGCCATGTATAAATAACTTCATCATCATTCACCTACCCCAAATCTTTTCTTATATATATAGGATTTTTATGTACTTTTCCTTAAATGCTATACAATATATATTTTCATATATTTTACAGTAACAAACAAATCAAAAAAATTGTAGAATTATCTTATAAAATTTGAGCTTATTGTTAGGATGATGTCTCAAATTCTATTGTAGAGTCGTATTTTATCGTGTAATTTTGGATAGATACATACGTCATTGTAAGGTGGAGAGACATGTAACTCAGCAACCTCGCAAGGGTATGAATATAATGGGTAGAAAAAGTTTTACGAGTGTTGTAATATCTATGCATGATTATAGTGCACTCTTCTTATGCATGTACTAATCCTGAATTTTGGTGAACTATGTAAATTTTGTGTTATAGTGCATGATTGCTTTATTTATTTCCCAAGTGATTTGGTTATGTACATTTTTTTGCTTCTATCAGAACCAATGGTTCGGCTGAGATTGATGTTCAGAAGATCTTGAAAACACAGAGAGTCCCAACAACAGCTGGTATTCAATTGCAGGTGGAGTCAATCAGTTGGTTTGCTCAATCACGATGGTCGTTGGAGTGGTTATGCTCTCAGCCAAAATTTGCTCCTAGCCTAGAAAAATAATGGGTTCGTTCTCTTAGTCCGGAAAAGAGATGGTTGATTTTGCTCTCAGCCAAGGTTCGCTCTCAGCCTAGCTCACACTCTCAGATTGGATAAAAGTAAAACGGAATCATGATGAGTTACATGACAAGAAGTTTGAGTTAAGGTGTAGCCTTGAAAGACAACAAGATTAAGGTCGGATTAGTTGTCAGATTCAGTTGTCGTGAAAAGTGTCATATGTTATTGTGGAGATGCAAGAGTAAAGAGACACGTAGTCCGTAAAGTGTGAGTACAATGGGTAGAAAGAGTTTCTTGTTGGTTATAGTGGAATCTTCTCATCCATAGACCTAGCATGAGTTTGGTGAACTATATAAATCTCGTGTTAGTTATTACTTTATTTGTTCCCCATGCGCTACACCCAACACTTACATCTAATAAAGTTAGTGTGATAGAGTATAATATAGAATGCAAATTTTCAACCAAATAAGACAAACTAGGTGTTATTTGATAATTTAATTCACCACATAATTTTGCATAAATAAAATACTTATTCAATAAAATGTGTTCATAATACAATTTAGTTAGATACCACATAAAAAATAAGTTCAACTTAAAGTTTTAAGTGAAGGAAGTCTTACTATCATTGATTTTAAATTCCATCAATTATCAAAAAATAAAAATAAAAAAATTCAATTTATCACTTAAATTTAAGCACTGGAAATTTACGTATTAAAATTCTCAACACTAAATTATCATCATTCTCCCTAACCCAATCAAAGTAAGGATCCACAATAGCAATATATATAGGCCCGCAGATCGGGCTGGTTAAAAATTTATGGCGCTAATCAAGTATCCTGTACGGGAATTAGTTAGGGTTCCAACACAACTTCCCTTAAAACTTTCTTATGTCTATTGGGCTGATTTCAAAATTTAGAAACAGTGATCACGCACCGGGCCGTGGGCTGAGTCTAAGCCTCAGTAACAGCCTGTTCAATCGACCTGGGCTTTGGCTCAAACCGGCCTTTTCTATATAATCTGCAGTGGACATCAAGCCTTAAATAGCAGTTTCACAATACTCCAAATTCAGTATAAAATGTCAAGTCTCACAAAAATAATAATAATAATAATAAAATACCATAACGAAATAGTTCATAATGTTACTTAAGTCAAACGAAGACAGACTAACCAACACAAAAAAATAATAAAAATAAATAAATAAGAGGGGTCCAAAATTCCAAATGGTGTCATGTCATCAATATTTATCGGTTAATCAGTCTAACTTTTTCGAAAAACATTTCCATAAAATAATTGTAGTTCAAGCACTGTCTGAATATCTCTCTTCCCAGAACTTTTAGTACAGGAATGGGTTGAAATTTGAACAAATTTTTCTATTTAGTTGCATGAAATTAGAATTTGTGAAATTTAAAAAAAATAATTTAAAAAATTGAACCAATTTTTTTTTAAATTTATTAATTTCAATTCTAATGTTCCAATTCTATGAAGCTGAATCCACCTGACAGGTAGATGAAACATGACAAATTTGGAGTTTGGAGTTAATATACAATACTTATTTCCTCCCTTTTTTCAGATGGTATTCACACACACATATCTCTTCTGAAATTTGAATCTCTGACCTCCTTTGAAGGTAAGAGGTTGATACCATTAAACTATTGCCCGTTAATTACTTCTTTCCTCTTCTAATGCTTTGGTCAGCTTAATTTTCCTTTATATATATATATATATACATTTTGAGGAAAGGTTGGTTAGGATTGGAGTTATCAGAGCATTGACGCCAAAACAGCAACCAATATTATTAATTTGGTGAAAACTCGTTAGTGGGAGTGACCTCTTGCCAACCCCAAAACAAGTCTCTGACCAAGTAAGTGACTGGTTCGTCAAAAAAACGTATTGCCCTTGTTTTGAAGCCAACTGTCCCACAAATTTAAGACCATGATACCCAAAATATTGGTTAATTTAGCACTCTCACTTTATCTTCAACCCTATTTAGGCCACAACCATTTGCACGCATGAGTGGTAATTACCGGATTTGGGCCCACCAATATCATGATTGGCTTCCACTTTAATCCTAGAGAACTGGAGGTTGCAAAAGTTGGGTCACCTATACTTTCCATGTTGTTGATAAATAAATATATAAATAAATAAAAACAACTGAAAAGAATGACACCTGTGCCAAATTTAATTAGATAAATGACCTCCACTTCGATGGTGGATTACCGAACTAGAGCATAAACAATTCTCGCCACAAGGTTTTAATAATTGTTGATGATTTGTCCAAGCAAATCAAAATCACCATGAGAAATAAATTAAATATTAAATTCATCGTTGAATGAAAATTATATTATCAATTCAATATAATTTTTATACAGTATGGTCTTTAATATTTTTATATAATAATTAAAATAACACTAGTAGAAGAGGTCACCTCAGCCATGAGAGACACAAATTTGAAGTCCCGGACAAAAGCGTTAGGAATAGTAAAAGCATAACTAGATGGTACCAAAGATTGTCTGTCTCTTCAGTCAGGATTGGATAGTACTCAAGATAAAAATAGATGCCGTATTTAACCCTATAAATATTATTGATGTGAAATATAATACTCCATTTTCTTCCTCACGTTTTAAATAATGTGGTCTCAACGTCGCTATAAAATCCCCCATTTATTGAACATTACTTGTCTCGCGAAGAGGACGACTCCTATAATAGTATTCTAATTAACTTTCATCCATTCTAAATTTAAATTATATAAAAATAATAATAATAATAAAAGAATACTAAATTTTCTCCCTTATATTTTAAATTTAAAATATTTATTTATTTTTATAGCATCGTGTTGCATCTAGAGATGACAAATGGGGTGAGAACATCATCCTCATTCCTATCCCGATCCCAATTCTCATTTAGAATAGCTACCGTCATTCTTGTTTCAAAATCGTTTATCAAACAGCCGTGGGTTGTGACTTGTGAGTGTCAACTATCCTCCACTGCAACAAATAGCAAACTTCATCTTGTTTTTTTTTTCTTTTTTTTTTATTCTTTGAGAAGTAATACATGCACTAAAAACTGTGAAAGAAATACAGTTGGATTACGGTTTTTGGTGATGTTGTAATACAAGTGAAATTTGAATAATTAAATTATTATGTCAATGGTGAGAGATCTAGGGTTAAGAGTGGGGTTTATAATTATATATTAATAACACTAACTTTTTTTGATTAGATGTCAATAAACGATCCTTAAATATAAAGTGGAACCCCAGACCCCACCACTATCGTCTCCCTCACACCTACACCTGCAAACGCAAAAGATCACAAACTACTACCTGCACATCTCAGGTGGTTTGGCAGATCTAACACTCCACGTCTCTTCTGAAAAGTTTTATCTTATTATTCTTACACATATACGTGTGTGTATATATACATACATATATATGCACACACATTTATGCTTCCTGCACACGCTGATATAAGCACTAGTAACTGCCTTAAACTTCACCACATCTTCTTTATTGCAACTTCAATTCCTCCTAACAAAGCGTCCATTTATTTCTCTGCTGTTCTCTTCATTCATTAACGTTTTGGTCAGTATTATATTAGTACATTTTAGCAACTCATATATGCACACACACAAATTCACGCACAAAAACACGCACCATTGAGAAGTGAGAGAGTAGTAGTACTTGTTTCTCGAATTCCGGTTATTGATCTCTTTGTCATTCACATCTCTGTATTCTTGCAGTGCGTCGTTGAACGTGAATTGCGTCAGGAATCGTCACAATCTATCATCAATGGACGAAAAGTAGCTTCCGTAATTATAGGAAAACAATATATTACACGTTTCTTTCCGTTTCTGAGAACTCTGTATATAATCAAAGAGGAGAATTCGATTTCCAAAGCACGGAGAAAGAGAGGTACAGAGAGAGACACAAGAGTTCGATTCAGTATTGAGGTTGAAATTACAGAGCGACAGAGAGAAGAATCAGATCTGGTGATTGTACGGCGTCGATCGACGGTGAGAGATGGGGAACTGTCAAGCGGCGGAGGCAGCGACGGTGGTGATTCAACATCCAGGCAACAAAGTGGAGAGGATGTACTGGTCGGTGAGTGCTCACCAGGTCATGACTTCAAATCCCGGCCACTACGTCGCTCTCGTCGTCACCTCTCCGACGCCCAATTCCGATAACGGAACGCCGTTGAGGCAGCTCAAACTTCTCCGACCGGACGATACGTTGCTTATAGGACAAGTTTACCGGCTCATCAGTTTCGAAGGTCAGTAACGCCACAACACTGCAATGATATCTGTCACCTATTTTTTCTCATTTACAGTTTTGACCTTTGGATTTTGGTTAATTTACGTGATATAATTGCTGTTTTGAAGATGTGTTGAAAGAGTTCGCTGCAAAGAAGTGCGTGAAACTCGGGAAATTGCTGAAGCAGAGTGGAGGACTCTCTCCGGAGAAGAAGAAGAAGAAGAAGAAGACGGTCTCGGATGGTCCACGCCCGAATCCAAAACCTGAGAACTGCCCTTCCATTAAGGTAATTAATACGCCTTTACTATTTTATGATAATAAAAATTTTCTTAAAAAAATTAATTTCTTGAAAATTTGTACGAAATTATAATAATGCATTTCTTTCATGTATTTAAATTATAAAATAATAATTTTTCATCTTGTTGGAATTTTTTCATGCGGATATTTTATTTCCCTTTATTTCCTTTCAATTTTTATTTTTTATTTTTATTTATCCAAACAGAGTGAAAGGACAAATTCGTCATTTTGCTAAATTAATGGAGCTCGCAAATCGAAAATTTTGTATGCCCTGTCTAAAGAATCTTCCTTTCTTTGTCAGTTGTCTACATAAATGCATTTCTTTGATGCAAAAGTTGAAAATATTGATAAAGTAATAGAAATTTGAACTTTATGGTAGGTAGATTTAAAACTCTATCCCCTGAAAAATCGAACTTTGTTTAAGCTTTATGTTACAGATCTCGAGGCAAGTCTATTGACGCAATATTATTTTTTATTTCTTTATAACTATATTCAGGTAAATAAGTTTTGTTTAATATAAAGTTATTTTAAATGTAAGATATTACTGTCCACATGATATTTTAGTTATGGCTGCAAGCCTGCAAATGCAATAAATTGTTTGTAAATAGGTCGAATTCAGATTATTCAAAATTTACTTACCTTCATTCGTTAATGGGGGCTTATTTAAGCTGGCAACAGACTTGTTTAATTGCTGGGCTTTGAGAATATGCGGCATATAATTATTTTTTGTTATTTTGACAAGTTTAGTTACAATCTCTTATTTATTAAGAGTGCAATAAAAATTTTAAAAATAATGAAATGTAATAAAGGTTTAGAAATAAAAATATGTTTTCTAACTTTATGAATCAGACATTGCATGAGCTAAAAGATCATGCGGGAATGAGTCAATTTTAAATCATCTCAACTCTGTATGAAATTGAAATTGGTGGAATTGAGAAAATTTGGTCAAAGATGCAGAATTTTTTTTTTTTTTTTTTTTTTTTCACCAATTCTAATTTCATGCCGCCGAATAAAGTAGGTTATATTTATTTATCCGTGCAAGATATTTTATCATGTAATGATATGATCATCGGTTCTCCCATTATTGATGTGTTAAAATTTTCATGTTAAATACATGATTTGCTTTTGAATTCCATGTACAAATTTTTGTTAATCCCTATTTTCTTGTAGACTTCATTTGAATTGAGTGATTTGGAAGAATTTGAAAAGAATAATGAAAATCGTGTTTGAATAGTTTTTAGTGGAGAGAAAAGAAATGATTGGGTCCCTCCAAATCCCCTTCATGTCCCTAAACTACCATCTTGTAACATTTAACTCTAATTTTATAACATTTTATAAAAAACTCTAGTAATTTAATTTTTATCATTTCTTTTCTTTTTTCTCATAATTTATCCAATCATGAATAAAAGTTATTACTATTTTTTTTTATTCTTTTTTTTTTTTCCTCTTATAACTAATGTTATCATTTTCTTTCTTTTCTTTTCTTTCATTTTTATACAAATAAAATGTTAATCAATGCCCTGTAGGGTGAGGATAATGTTTGACAATCCAAATTTTAGTAGCGGTGAAAGTGGACTGATGAAGTAATATGGGTGGGACCATAAATGTTCTATATGCGAACTTGATACTGGTTTTACATTTGTCAACAGTTCCATAATATAATCAAGACAGACAGGTAATGGAGATTGTTTGTTAAGAGTAAAGTTTTCAAAGAGGCTACTTACAAAAAAAAAATAAATAAATAACAAATATTCCTTCTGTCTTAAAATAGTTGGACACTTTGTGAGTCACAATTTTCAAAGTGCCCAATTATGTTGGGACAAAGAGAGTAGAAAGTTTTCAAAGAAGCTGCACTCTTAAATTGTGATTTTTATCTTTAAAAATCACCATTTAGTTTTTTATCATGTCTTTGGTGAATTAAATTTGTGTCCCATTTGAATCATTGTGAGATGGGCTTTGCAATCTTACTTTTCAATTTTAAACTCATTGTATCTTCTATCACACGCACTATATAAAAATATCTATATATATTTGAAAGGTATGCACTATATAAATTTTGCAAAATGAAAATTGCTTAATTTGTAGATTAGATTCCCACCAAATTTCGTATCATTCATAAAGTAGGACCCCCACCTCACCCGATGTAGTGTTTAGTATTGGGATACAAGTAGAAGGGTCAAACGAAATAATGATGTAAAAATTTGGTGAAACGCTGCATCTTTCAATTCATACAATTATGTTAACTATATATAATGATTAGAAGTTGTCGTGAAAAAAATTCATGATGATGGAGATGGTATTGCGTTTTTCAAAGTATATCTGAATCCGCTGTGTATTAGTCGCTCGTGGTGGAGTGCACTGAATCTTTTTTGTCTTTTGTTTGTTGTAACTATACATACTGTGCATATTCTTTTTCAGGTGGAACACGAGGTATATGGAGTGGTAGGAAGCAGCAGCAGCAGCGGAAGCAGTGGCAGAAGGCACCACGGTGGTGGTGGGGGACAATGGAAGCCAGCCTTACAGAGCATCGCAGAGGTTGGAACTTGAATTCCCGCCACTATAAAGTCACTAACTAGCTCCATCTTCTAGTCTCCTCTCCTACTACAACACGTTCCATCCCAATCCCAATCCTCTTACCCTTCAACCAGTAGGAATAAAAAAAACTACCTGTTCACGTGTTTTTTATAATGTACCGTTTTTAATATTCTCTCTGGCTGTGTCAAGTTTTGATCAGTGTCGACTCGGACACATTTATCAGTATTTTCTAGATCTAGGAGATATGCATGCTATTTGGACACGTGCACAATGCATCATCAAAGTTAACAACTCTGTTAAAAATTAATGTAGTAGTAGTAAATTCACCTAGTGGTTTATCATAATCAGCCTCTTTGTATTGTTCCCTGTTATTGATGTAGTTTCGATGTGGCATCGTCTGATGTAGCTCACATATGTAATATAATTTATCACTGATATATTTCGGATTCTCTTGGCACATGAGGGTTCACAATCCTTACACGACGTGCAAGGCTCGTGAACCGTAAGATGCAGTGCAGCAATTACTGCACATAGTCCCGCCTCCACCTCTGCCTCCCAAAGTTATTATGTGAGTTTTGAGTTCAAATTCCAGTCACTTTTGACTTGGGACGGACCAGAAACATAAGAGGATGCTAAGGTATAATACTAAAAAAAGAAAAGAAAATATCTGTTTTTTGTCGACTTCTAGTTGGGTTTTTGAAATGCGGTGTTAATGTCCTAATCACAAGTAATAAGAAAAACGCGTAAAGAACTTCATAATGAGAATCTACACCCGACTTGGGGTTCACATTCAATTACTTGGTAGAAGGATTTTTTTGGCATACCGACTGCAGGCTCAGGTGGAGAAAAGGAGATGGAATTGGATAAAATAAATTCTAAAACAGAAATTTAATTTAACTATTATTTCTTTCTTTCTCTAATGCGTATAGCAGCATCTGAGGAATGGATGAATAATACTTCCCTCCTCTAACTTCCTCCACGTTGTTGATATGACAATGATAAATTGAAATATTGACATTTTGAATTGAAACACATGTTATTTTATAATTAAATTATCTTAGTGGTGTATAAGTTCATATTCATCGCTAGGAAGACAAGTATTATTCAAAATAAAAGAAATAGAAGTGTGAAAATATAGAAGTATAAAAATATGATTTACTTTGCAAGCTAACAATACCAATATGTAAATAAATTAATATATATATATAACAACAATTTGATTGGAGAGAGAGAGAGAGAGTTAATTGGTTTTTGGCTTGAGAAACAAAAGTTTGAGCTTAATCATGTGTTTGGATCTCGTTAATTATAGAGAGTTGGACACATAGTAGTAACTGAGAGAGTGAGGGACCAAATTTTTTTTATTTTGACAAACTATCAAGAACTTGTTCAAACTAATTACCAAAAGACGGAAAAAAAAAAAAAAAAAAAAAAAAAAAAAAAAAAACCTTGTTCAAACTCTTCCGAATCAATGTTAAATTTAGAGAAAAAAAGACCCATTGTGTATTGTATTAGCAGTTAGCTAATACTTTTGAATTTTCTTCCTAATTTTGTTGTAAATGCATAATGAAAAAAGACCAACCATATTTGCTTTAGTTTCCAGATAATAATTTTTATTTATTTTTTCTTTAGTTAAATCATGCACATATCTATTTGTCCCACAAATTCGAAGACCCACCTTTCAGAATCACATACAACTTTAGCTAAACTTTTTTGTAGTTCATATTTATATTTTTTTCTGATAATTGAAAAAAGAAAACCACCTAAGAATTTTTGTTTCTCAATTTGTTAATACTAAATTTAAAAAATAAAAAATAAAAAAATTGTGATTTTAAAAAACAGCCTACAAATAGTTATGAAATTTTAATTGCTAAAAAAAAGTGGGCAAAGCAAAAAAAACACCTTTATTGTTTTTATTTTGGACAAATAATACCCCTATCATTTATACTGTGATATAAGTCCCCCCAATTTGAAAAAAATTGATCAAAGAAGATCTTGATGTCACTGTTTGGTTAAAATTTTAGTCATGGGTAGCAAATGGCATTTTTTAAATATAAAATTTCAAAAATGACCTTTTTATCTTCCAATAATGCCCTTATATGTTTAATGTAAAATACACACCGAAACATCTTGGTGATGACTGGAGCTACACTAGTTGAATCTGTTTTGGACTCGGTTTGCATCATCTTTAAATCTGTGATATATATATATATGAAGATTCAACAAAGAAAATGAATTGAAACAAAAGAAATTAATGCTTTCATTTTGCTTTTTTAGCCGAAAATTGAATGCTTACAGCAAATCATCTAAAATATTGAACAATTCAAGAGAAGCTGATGGCCCAGTTCTTATCTCTCTAGAAAGTTTCAACTGCTTATCTAAAAAATCAACTGATTACAGATGCCCGCAATTTTCAACTCTCTCTCGAAATTCAATCTATATGTGAAATTCAAAGACCTAATTATGACTTAAAACCTATTTCAAATTATGAGCATGATATACGATTTAACATATGAACCATAAAATGACGTAAATGCTCTTTAAATAAAATCTCGTTGCTAAGTATGATACTTTCATACCCATTCATCAACAAAAGAATGGTAAGTTTAATATTACAAGCCCAAAAGAATAAGTTTACATCATCATTATGACGGTTGCAAAATTATATAAGTTTACCAAAGGTTATCAAATTATCATAGGTTACAAAATATGCAAAAATAATAGGTTCATCAACTTCCACTACCGTTACGGAAGGACGCCGTCGACTACCTCTTTATCATAACCTAAAAATTATTAAAGAAATGGGTGAGTATGGAGGCCTAGTATGAAATGCCTCGAGCACCAACTTTAAACTCCCTTGAGTCAAGCAATATATATAAAGGCTTAAAAGAAACCAGGATCATACAATAGGAATCTTATAAAACACAAGTCATGCTTCACCCCTACAATGTCACATACACAGTCCATCATGTATATATATATATATATATATATGTATATAAATGAATGAAATGTTTTATTGTCCCAACCTTGGTCCCAAATAAACCCAATTCAAAATTTTAATACTAAATTAAAAAAAAAAAAAAAAATTAATATTGTATCACAAATGGTAAATATATTTCTCCACCACATCACTCTCTCCTCTTTCCTAGACTAATTTTTTTCTCTTAATATTCTCTTTCCAAAAATATAAAGATGCATATCCTTCGTATACCATCATAGTCATCATAGAGGTCAAACTGACCAAAAATATATATAAAGCACAAGAACGAACCTAGACTAGCCAAAAAATTTAAACAATATTGGTTTGTGCATCCGTCGTCAACCATACTAAATCCTGACTATATAAAAGAGATACAAACATAATTTATAAAAAAAAAAATATTTACATATCATTCAATTCTCTCTATAATTAATTATACATATTTTTAATAAATATATACACACACCACGCACACACTATGTTGAAGCAAAAATTTAGAACTAAGCGTTTATAGTTCCTTGGATGATGAAATTTGAGTGTGAATTTCACTCTCTAACTCCCAAAAACAAAACTAATTTTGTCACTTCTCATTAGTGATTCGTGATATCTATCGTATTCCTATTTTATTTTATGGTAAATTTATAAATTATACGGAGAAAATTATCTGCAGGTAGTTTCCACATGTAATGGGTAGTGTGGGACCCAAGTGACCTCGAGGGTTGAAACGTAATTGGATCAGCCCAAATCAATAAATTTTGCTTATGAACGAAGTAATTGTGTGCTTGGAAACTTCTACGTTGTATCCGTTAACGCGTACTCGACACCGACTCGGTATCTACTCTCCTTTATAAAAGTTAGCAACCCCAATCCTCTTTCATTCCTGTAACAGATCTCAAATCGCTCACAAAGAAGAAGAAACAACTAACAGAGAAGAAGAAGAAGAAGAAGAAGAAGATCAAAGAAGTAGAAGAAGAGAGATGAGTTACTACGATAATCATCAGCAGCAGCCCGTCGGTGCTCCTCCCTTCCAAGGTGAAAACTCAAGATTTCTAGGGTTTTTTTTTTTTTTTTTTTTTTATCACTTTCTAGGGTTTCTCTGTTTCTTGATGTATCCTTAACATTTATTGGTTGGTTATTATTGTGTATGTATAGGGTACCCTAGTCAAGGCAATACAAAAGATGCCTATCCTCCACCAGGCTACCCTCCCCAGGGCTACGCTCAGGGCTACCCTCCCCAGCCCCAGGGGTACCCTCCCCAGGGTTACCCTCAGCAACAGTACGGCCAGCCCCCTCACCACCAACATCAGAGCAACAACGGCGGCGGCGGTGGTTTGCTCCAAGGATGGTACGCCTCTATCTCTATATATATCTGTGCGATTTGACCGAATTTATTAAAATCAGGACGATTCTATTTATTATCATTCTTAATTTGGCTGTAAAGGGTTTTGGGTTTCCTATAAATTGAAATAGGAATTGCGTTTTTTTGGGGAAATTTTTAAGCATGTTAGGTTAATTACCTAAATGAATGCTACTTTTGGTGGTAAGCAATGACTGCAATTCAATCTTGAAATATGGTTTTGATGGGTTCCTTTTCTTTCTTATATTGGACAAGTCATTAAATATTGGAAGTCAAAGAAATACCCTTTGAACTTCAGGGCTTGAGAATTATGTAATGTTTAGCCAGATTGAGTAAAATTGACCAGTTCTTGATTTAGGAAGACACTGAAATTTTTAGATGGAATCGAAGGGTGTTCTGTTTATTATTATGTAAAGTTCACCATATTATTTATTTAAGCTTCACCATGTAAGTTGGCTCGCTTTGAGTGAGTGTGCACATCATTGATAAATTTGTATAGTGTTGTATTACCTTAGATTCAAGCTTCAACCAAAACAAATGGAGCCAGGATTTGAAATGATCTATATTGGGTTAGTATTCCACCTGATTAAATGGAAGCCATATTCCAGCTATATGTTTTTATCTGCTTCTCGCTGATTATGTTTCTATGGATCTTCAAACTTCAAAGAGACCCCAATTTAGTTAATAACCAAGTAAATTACTTCAATTTACTGAAAAATAGATAATTAGGGTTTTAATTAGTGAAGTTGTCAATCGTGAATATATGCTGTTCTTGATTATTTCCTGCAGTATTTACATGGGTTGGTCAGTTATCTCCGCCCCAATATTTTGTTGTTGAACTTGTTAATCATTTAATTCTCTCTTGAAAAAGGTTATGTGGTGTTGCTCTCAATCTCAATATATGTTGAAAGCGAACTTATGGTTCTTTTTTTTTTTATTTTGAAGCCATTTTTATCTGACAAAACTGACATAGCTCCTTGCGCTTGCAGTTTGGCAGCACTTTGCTGCTGTTGTCTTCTGGACGCTTGCTTCTGAGGATTGAAGAGTTGATGCTGGTTCTTCGAGCATTATCTATAAAGTGACTATAGTTTGTGCTTATACACCATTCCTTTATTCTTAGAATGATTGGAATTATCCAAGCGTAGCTTGTGGATTTTTGTTGCTTTTTAAATATGAATAAACATCGTACACTATTTTTTGAGCAATTTTATCAGTATTCTATTTATTTGAGCAATTTTATTTATTTATCACTGAAATCACGCTATTTCTAATTGAAAAGAAAACCATTCTCTTCCTAAAAAAAAATAACCAAAAAAAAAAAAAAACGGCTGCATTCATGCTATTCCAAATAAATAAAATGAAAAATTAATATTCCAACTATTTGTGTACTCATCAGAGTAGCATAATTGTTCATTTTTTTCATGGCATTTTTAGCTTCTTATATTAATCATAATTGCAAGATAATCTATCATTAATCATAATTGCAAGCTAATCTATCATTAACGAAAAGAAAGGGAGAAAACGAGCCATCAGTACCATATATTGAAAAATTGCTGCAGTCATACTCTTCCAGATTAATAAAATGAAAAATTAATTAATAAAATGAAAAAATTAATGTAATATTCCAACCATATCAAATCATCATATTATTTGTGTACCACGGGAGTAGAAAAGCAGCATAATTGTGCACTTTTCTCATGGCATGTTTAGCTTCATACATTCTCACAATTGCAATCAGTTCCATTTATTGAAGAAACAAAGAAGAAGTCATAGTTGTCTTGGACAGAACAACTCTCCACTCCACCACAACAATTGGTAGAAAATATGCAACAATACAATGCAAGCCATATGGCAGAATTTCAAGGAGGAGAGTGGTCGGGTAAAAAAATCATTCCTCGGTTTTTGGAGGGCCCTTCCACTTGAAGTTGTCTGAATATGCTTTGACCTGCAACCAAAACAAAACAATATAAGGATGCTGTTCAACTGCCACCATCATGGTTATTAAATAACGAAAAAGGGAACAATTAAGCAAGAAGCCGACCTATAAATAGTATAGATTACAAGAATTCAATACAGTATATTTTAAGTAAGCCAAACTCCAATAGAAAAAGGATGCATGCTTTTTCCAAAAGACATTAATAAAAGGTTTAAGGTTAAGGAAAATCACCGTGATACACTCCAATAAGTTCCACTCAGGCCATAACAGACTAATTAACATGACAAAAATTCAGTGTGTCCAGAAGCAGAATATTTTCCACATCTTTTAATAAAGTCTCACAGTCCAGAAAATTAGAAAGATCACCAATCCCAGAGGACGGCTATAAATATGGGCAGAGTGTGCATTTATTGTTCCATTCAGATCCTACTAGGAAAGTCAATACTGGTTAACCAGTCTTGATCACCCTGAAAACAAGAAAATTCTACAAAGCATGAAGGCCATTTTCAATTCTTGGGGTTCATAAAATGTCACCATCTCAACTCTAAATTTTGAAATAAAAGACATTATTATAGATCAAAAAATAATTTAAAAAATTCTGCCACCATACTTCCCATGTAAATAGGTAAAGTAATCACTAAAGTTGGGGGAAATGAAATATCAAACCTTCAATAGCGGGGTGTGGCGCTTCTTTACCTGCACATAAGAATTCACATTAACAGCATAGAAAATAAAATTTGAAAACAAGGGCAAGAAATATTACGTTTTTACAATTCAACTAGATCACTCATATAATGATGAGAACAAGTGTACAACAATAATGTGGTGTCGATCATTATCATGCTATTAATAACAAACAACAACAAATCAATCTAAAATCAAAATTGTTTTGAACAAGAAGGCATGAATACTTAAACTTAAGGGCGAAAGACAATAAAGAAAAAATGAAAAAAAAAAATCTATAAAAGATGCTTAGTGTCAGGGACTTTGGCCTTGCGGGGCGTAAAACATTAGGCAGAAATTGTAAGTGAGATAATTATTCAAAATATTAAATTGCACATTGTTATTAGAAATGATTTTAAAAAGTTAAACATAATAGATGAGATGGTGTGTAATAGAAAACAATGGAAAAGGATAATTCATGTGGCCAACCTCTCATAAGGGATTAAGGGAAAGATGATGATGATATCGCACATTGATTACTCATTTTCAGTCCTAAACATGCAACCATGGAACATAATTCCATTTTTGTCTAATTATTTTCATTACTAAAACTTATTCATAAAATGGGCTGATTTTTCATGTAAAAAAGATTGTGTTTACACAAAATCTCTCCAAATAAACATCTTTTATCATCTATGTACTTTTTTTTTTTTAACCTGGCAAGGAAAGTTAGTAGTTAGTGGGGGATAGGGGAAAGGGATTTGAACCTAGGAGCATAGGGTGGGGGGCACTTAAGGCCTGGCCATTTACCACTCCCTTCTTTTATCTTCTATGTACTTAGTACAACCTTAAATGCAATCTCCGAGGAATTCCTCCTGCTGAAACAAAATTTTTGAAGGTTGGCATGCTAAACCTATAGTGAAACATTAGCGCCATACCGGTTAGGTCCTTTAGTCAAAGGAGAGTGAGAATGCAAGAAGGGAAGGATAGATTATATCTACTCTCTCTGCTTCATTCCCTTTGGGTGAAGCCACACTAAATGGTGTTCAGAGGCCACTCTCCGCTTCATTCCCTTTGATAAACATCAAAGGGAATGAAGCGGTGTTACAAGGGAAAGAACAAAACAAGACTTCATCTCATTCTAAAATCACCTTCTTATTAACATCATGTCCTCAACAGCTTATATTCATTCACATAGCGATAAACGTCAAAGGGAATGAAGCGGTGTTACAAGGGAAAGAACAAAACACAAATTTATCACATAATTCTCATTCTAAAATCACCTTCTTATCAACATCATGTCCTCAATGGCTTATATTCATTCAAATAGCGATAAACATCATGTGAACTATACAAGTGTGTGCACATCAATCAGTAAATATATTTATACACACACACACTCACAAGCGTGATGTTAATTAACTTTGAACCATAGCCTACAAGTTACCTCTTCAGAATCTTCTATCTTTTCTTTACTCTTGTGACATAGTCCTTCATACATGCTTAATTTTATAGAAAGTTAGAAATTGATATTTCAATTTTAAGTCTTTGCTACATGACAATGTCTAGTCTGTATGCTACACATCATACAAATACATATATTACAAAGTTAGATATTGTGTACAATTGAGTCAACGATAGAATGTATACCATCACCATCCAGTATGAATTGACAAGAACTTAAGTGCAACAAAAATCCCCAATTAGTAAGTATGATAAGAATAATTAGAGCATCATAGAAGTCAAATATGCTGGTAATTCTGAACAGTATCGACAAGAATATAGCAGAACACGTGTAAGTTGAAAATTTCAAGACCATTAGGATTAAGGGCGGATCCAGCATTTCAGAATGGGGTGGGCTAATTTTAGATTGGGCTAATTTGGGGTGGGCTACCAATAGTAATTTTTTTTTTTGGGCTGGGCTTAAAGTAGTATGGTTTTTTTTTGGGGTGGGCTGAAGCCCACGTTCGCCCACCCCTAGGTCCGCCTGTGATTAGGATCGTCCTTTTTTCCATCGTCAGTGAGTGAGGACCTAAGAGTAAGACATGCAGGCACACACAATTGCCCCTTATAGGAACTTGAACACTCAACCTTCCGCTTGGAAAGTAGAGGCGATGGAGAAACGACATATGATTGGCACACGTGACCTGCACATGTTTCACCTCTACTTTTGGACAAGGGGCAAGGTAGATAATTTAAGGTTAATTTTTAGTATTATTTTGGTAAAGTTCTAATTTTAGAGTTATTTTAGTACTTTCCTATTTTAGGGTTCTAAGGGTTTGCCTATATGAAGACTATAATGTAATCAAACAATTCAGCTTTGAAATATTGAATATTATTAAGATTTTTAAAATTCTCTATGTGTCTTCTCCTTCCCCATTATTCGTGCTCTCCTCAACCATCAATCTGTCTAACCTACCTTTGATTTGATTTCTCATCCCCTTTCTTATAGCCTCAATTCATTTTTTGTCTTCTCATCCCCTTCTTTCTTTTTCTTCTATATCAGGCTGGTCCTACACGATTTTGGTACCAGAGCCTCACTTGTCCTACATTATAGCAGTCTCGTCCTACATCAAGAGGAGATACCACTAGAACTAAACTTCAAACAAACTTTGTTCATCAAGAATATGGAAATACAAGCATCACATACCGAGTATTCCCAACCATGTTTCTCAGCAAATGCTTTGGCAGCTTCCTCACTATCAAAACTAAAACCAGCATCACCAACATTGGCGTATGGGTCCCCTGTGGATGTCCATCCCATCAACGGATTTTCCCATCTACAAAAAATATGTCGGTGAAAAGAAATCATTTATCATATGACTGATGACAAATTAAGTGATTCAAGAATTATTTGTGCATTTCCTTTTCAACAAAAAATAATCGCAAGCTGGAGTAACTCACACTTTAAAAGTCAAACAGGAAACTACACAACCATACAGAAAAACAAGCAAGGATTTGCAGATGGTGATGGCAATGCATTGTAGGAAATGACTCAGAATCATTCAAAAAAATTGGAATATTCCATATCGTTTAAAACTATAAAATCATAGGTTCACTTTTTGCAACTAAAATGGAACAAGCCAGTTATAATTCAGGGGACAAGAAAATTTGGAAGATAGTGAAATACTACCGTCACTGGCAAGTGTCACAATTTAGAGATATTGTACTTAACACTAGATTAGATAAAGATTACCCACAAGCCTGAGGGGCTGAACTGCATCCAACTATGTCACATCAAAAGTCACTCGGAAGAATAACCCTCTAATCTTCATACATATAAATTTTCATATATCGTTGCAACTATTAACCATCGATTCATTGTTCCGTCTCATTGGCAGTTAGCTAGACATATTTAATTATGGATACGTGGGAAATTTGTAACCAAATACTATTTTCACTTTTCATCAGTGAGTTAAATTTAATCAAGTTGATTTTAAATATACATATCTGTACAGCCAATTTTTTTATAATAGCATGATGCTGAGAGAGGAGGAGGGGTTTGGAATTCAGATTTATATAAACTTATAAAGCAAGGTATTAAAAGAAAGCAAATAAAATAAGCCACCTCTTAGCTCCCAAATCCCTTCTCAACCCACCAAAAAAATATAATAAATTAGAAAAGAGAGAAAAGGGATTAAAATTATTAGTCATTTGTCCTTGAAGCACCAATTTAGAAACAAAACTTTAAAATTAAAATGCACATGAATGGTGTACCTTTCCATTTCTTCCTTGTATTATCCCAGAGTGACGATACGCATTTCACAAAAAAAAAATGGGGTTTGGGTTTTTTGGGGGGGGTGGTTGGTTCCATTTCTTCCTTGTATTATCCCAGAGTGACGATACGCATTTCACACAGAGTGACGATACGCATTTCACAAAAAAAAAAATGGGGTTTGGGTTTTTTTTTTTTTTTTTTTTTCTAAAAATGCTATATTTTAGCAATTCTGCTTCAATGGTGCATTTCATCCAAAATGCTATTTTTTAACACAACCACCATTTTTTTTTTCAACTACCATTCCCAACTCAACCACTACAATCCCAAATTCATTTTTAGAAAATAAATACACAGATGTATACACAGAACCTCATCAGAAATTCAACACACAAAAATTGCAAACCACAGATACATCAAAACAGTCACATCCCCATCGAAGTTTCTCAAAATATCACCCACACATGTATATACTGTGACAACCTTTCAAAAATTCGAACACAAAATATATATATATATATGTATGCAAGCACAGTCCTAGTCTCATCAAAAAAATTCAAAATCCAAGCCACATATATCAACAATCATCTTATCAAAATTTCGAAACACAGATCTTATATATGTCAACACAGGCTTCATAGTCACTAGTGCTTCAAAAATTCCCCAAAATATCAAGACTATCCTCATCAAAAGATATATATTTCAAAACTATCCTCATATTTTTAAGAATCCAAACCCTCCATATATATACATGAGGGAAGAGAAAGGCTTACCCGAGTGAAGATCCAAGAGATAAAGAGGAAAATCCGAGAGAGATGGATTGCTGAACAGCTGCGGCCTGAGAATCGGCCGGAGATGGAGCAGCGGTGGTCGAAGAATCGGCAGGAGATTAGAGACTGAGAGCGAGGAAGACGACGATCCTCTTAGAAAATTGACGAGCTCTGTGGGGCTTCGGCTTGAGAGCAGAGAGGAAGAGATGAGATGAGGTGGTTTTCGGTTTTTATGGCAGAGAGATGAGGGAAGGAAGAGAGCAATAGCAGTTGCTATATTTTGTGTTAAATTTGGCAGAAGATTTGACAAAGCTATATTTTGGCAGCCCATTTAACAGCCCATTGGAGAGCTCATGTTAAACCCACCTGCTATATTTTGAAATTGGCAGCCCATTTGGCAACCCATTGGAGTTGCTCTAAACGAGCAAAATTGCCAAATATTAGTGTTCAGGTCTATTTGATTGACCAACGTTATGTTTAAAGGCATTACACAGTGCAATTCCCCATTAACCAAGGGTGCCGGGAGGAGCAAACATGGTACACAATAACCGACTCGAACCCACATTTCTCCAACTTGCCAACCCGAACTTTTACCACTGCACCAAGCAATGGCCTCTAACCAAGAATCTGTTAGAAATGATTTGGAATTTAGAGACCCCTAGAAGAATTTAGCTTGATAAATTTTTGAGCTGCTCGAGGTCAGTTCTGTATTAATACAAATCTCTGTGGAAAAACATCGGTTTAGTATATCAGAGGAAGAGATGAAATGTGTTTCTATTGCATTAGATGAGAGATGATATCATCAAGCATATAGGCGGTAATTGTGCCAAGCTTGGGCCCCTATTTGATGCATGAACTTAACACTAAGGTTTGATGGCAAAAAAGAGCTTTACAACCTAAATTAATAATGATAACTCTGTGACCGAGTTACCTTTACAAGATTCAATTGTCTAGAGATATGACATTCCATTGCCTAAAGGACCCATGTTCCTGTTAAGGTCCCAATGGTCCGAGATCCAAAGAGTTTGGCTCAGTTCCTTTAGAAGCCAAGCCTGGTGCTTAGGTTCCAAGTTGGTTTATTTATGGAACCAACGATGCTCAAAAACTTTCAAGTAGGCAAGCTTAAGCTGCTTAGTGCACTTATGATTGGGAAATAACAAAAAGTGCAATATCCTTTTGTTCAGTGAAAGGTAAGTGGTAAAAAAGTGCAATATCATGCAACGAAATATAAAAAAGTTCGAGCTACCAAAATTGGACTTCATGATGACTACCCTAATACATTCAATACATTCCAAATTAAAACCAGGAACTCAAAGAAACTCAACTTCTTGAAGAGGCAAAAACTAAAAGATTTAAGAAGCATACTTCTGTGTTGACATGAAATTGATTTTCCACTTTCCAAGTTTTCCTGATCCTTGTTGTGTAGCAGTTCGAGCAGGTGAATAAATTACAACCTGTCGTAAAAAAAATAAAAAAAATATATGTAGTGAAGAGTTCTATTGGCCACAAAAAACAAATAAAACCATATTTTAACAAAATAAACACAAAATCGGCATGATTAGTCTGAGTTTTAAAAAATGTAAGACAGGCCAGAAGTAAATTGAAATTGAAGTCATCAAATAAGTTCTGCATATGACTCCCCCCCCCCCCCCCCCCCCCCCCCCCCCCTCTTTCCACAGGGTGGGGTATTCCGCCCCTCCCAGCAACCTGTTTGGGCAGTGTCTATAGCCTTTCTTAAAGTAAATAATACCAAAACATCAATAACTAGGGCCATAGACACTATATACAACATTAATCTGCCACAGTTTGTATCAACATGATGCTAAAGATAAACCCAATAAAGGCTAGTACTAGATGTTGATCTTGCATGTGCAGGGTGCTTTGAGAAGAATACGAGAGACAAAACTAACTTTGGGTAATTCTTACTGACAAATAAATAAAAACCTAACTACAATTAGTACTTTATTATCATAGAGGGGAGAGGGGGACTTACTTTCCAATTTTTTCAATGTTCAACAATTTAAAATAAGCCTTGATAAATAATTGATATCAAAACACAGTTAAAGATGAGAACATTTAACAGAGCCACTTCGAGCCAAAAGAAGCTCCATAATGAAAGAAATACATTACAAAGTACTAATTTTTCAATAAGGATATAGTGATTAAAAAAAGAAAAATCTCATCATGATCAGGGATTTTCAGCTTCAGCAGATATAGCCCTTGAAATCTTAAAACAAAGCAATGAATATTCTAGCAAACAAACTTATTAAAGTTAGTAGATAATGTTATTGCGACTCGTTTACTATATTGCTCACAATTTAACCAAATGTTATTCACTCAAACTCATCTCCATTTTAAATGAACGGGACTTCATCAATTGGCTGAAATTAGAACATCACCAATTTCCAAAATCATGTTATACAGAGAAAAGCCATCCGTTCCTTAGTAAAATGTACAATTAACCTTGTTATGCCACATAACATATGTGAACACACATATATGTCCTCCACACACAACAAATACATATATGCACGCACAAGCACAAGCACAAACACAGACATAATTCCTTCAATCCATGTACAAACAGCTAGTTAAGCAAACCGTGCAAAGCTAGAAATCATGAGACCATAAACAACTCCTTTTTTCAAGTAAATAACCTTAAACAACTCTTCTAAGCCCTAAAAAATGTTAAATTCATGAATCAGTGATGAAATCCAATCGAATTTGAGGAACAGGTCGATATAATTTCACATTTACAAAATAAAAGATACAATAAAAGGTGTCATCAAAATTAATATGGGATCGTACCCTCCTTCGAAGGTGTTCTTCGGGGATACCGGAGACCAAGCCGATCTCTCCAGGTGTGATCTCAACCAGAGCATCTTGAGAAAATGATCTCGAAATTTGGGCCAAAGAGGATCGATAGGCACGACAAGCAGGGCGTTGCAGAAAGCTCGCCATTGTCAACCACCGGAGTTTAGGGCACTGCCAAGGACAGATGTAGAAGACCCTGGCACACTGCAATTTACGATATTGAGAGGCACTAAATTTAAAAATGTTTATATATAACTATATGAATTTTAATGCTAAGAATTTGGTTGCAACATATTCACCACTCCTTTTATTTCACTCCCAAAGGAGAGCCGTAAGATTCCAAGACACACTTTCGGCTGGAAAACTCCTTAAATTTAATTGGAGCAAATAAAGACAGAGAAAATATTTAAGAGTACCTCTATAACTTAATTTTTAAAAAATAAAATAATTAATTAAATATGAAATAACTAAATGCTCTCTAAAATTTCCCTAACATCAGTGTGTATAATGTATATATAATTTATAAGGGCATTATCATTAGAGATAAGGATATTTTCAAAATTTCATATCTTAACAGTGACTTCAAGTCCTTCTTTGCTTATTTTTCAAACTTTAATGAATTTATATACACAACATAAATGATAAGAATGGTATTTGTTTAAAATATAAATATTAATGATATTTTTCTCACTTTACCCGTTGAAATTTGGATAAATTACACTGAGATTGGATAAATTGTTGAATGTTTATTATTGTCACTTCTCCTAAATTTCATTCAGCCACGACTGAAAAGTGATGATTTAAGTGTGAAAAGTCAATAATATTATTATATTATATTGTATTTTATAAAATTTTGTTAACAAATTTCTAAAAAATAAAGTACTATTAAACCAAAATTGGTTGTGTAAAATAATTTGTCAAAACGAGGTAGTAAAAAATTACCCTTAAAATTTTTACAATTTGATTTATCTCCCTAAAAAAATCCCTGATCATTGCATCACTTTTAGTTTGAATTTGCATTACTTTTAGTTCAAAAAAATTCATGCTGAAATTTAAATTAAGTGTGACAAACTTTAAAAAGAAATGTGCTCTAAAATTGAAGTAAAGGTGCAATTGGTTGCGGGAAATAAAATTTGTGCAAGTTTAAATTGGTACTACTTCAAAATACCCTCCTATATATATAAACATGTGTACTCATTTTGTGCATTGTTTCAGAAAAAATATATATAATAATTATTATTAGTTTGTGCATTGTTACATAACTTACATGGTACACATTTTATGTATCGCAACAACCTACATCACAAAAATACGATAAAAATGTAATAATAGTTATGCGAAGATATAACACTTATACAATATATTACATCATGCAATGTTATAACATCATAAATCAATAACTTAACACATTTATCAGAAAAAGAGATATATAACATTGATTTGATATTATACAAATCTGTTTCGGCTTGTTTGGATACAACACTGACACATTTAAATATTTCACATTTACTTTACTATTAGGAACCTGTAGCTAACGACAACTCAATATAATTTGAGACCTAGGGTGGCTCAATATAATTTGAGACCTCAGACGAAAAATATAAAAGTGGTCTTTTAATATCTAATATATATATATGGTCAATTCAATTAATCTTTCTTCTCACATAATTGATCCTAGAGTTATATAACTTATACTTAATGTAAAATGAGGAAAAATATGTCAAAAATAAGAAGGAAAAATAAATAAATAAACAAAGAAGATAAAAGTTAAAATACGAATATGGAAAGTTTTATAAATTATGGACAAAAAAGAAACGCGAATGAGGAGCTGAGAGAGAGAAAAAAAAGAGATAAGATAAAGATATCTTTTGGCCCCTATTAAATCTCTATTAGTTAAGGTCTAAAAATTGATACAAATAAAAATTTAAAGAAGGTTATAATATAAGGAAAAAAAAAAAAAAAAATTTGGGGCCCTTCTATTGGGCAAGTTTAATAATGAGGAAAAATCATTTTTAGAAAGGTTATATAAACAAATAATTTTTTTAAAAAGTTATAACATAAGGAAATACAAATTTTAGGGTCTTTATATTGATTGGAGTGATACTAGAAAGGAAATAAAAATTTTAGGAAGGATATAATATGAAGGAAAAATAAATAAATTGCGGCCTTCCTATTGGCTAGGGCTTTAAGCAACCACCAGGGCAGGCCCTAGATTCCAAATATTTTGAGACGCCCTAGGCAAACTTTCAAATGTGAGGCCCTTAAGTTTCACATGCGCAAAAAAAATTATAAGAGTGCGAAATTTTCACATGATGTTTTCAAATTCTATAGCTAATATAATTGCGCGCTTGTGCATTGTGGACAAGACAACTACCTAATAACTATAAATTTATCACCACCAACAAATAATTGTGCGCCTGTACAGTGTGCATAAGACAACTAACTAATAACTATAAATCTATCACCACCAATAAATAATTGTGCGTCTGTGCAGTGTGCTTAAGACAACTAACTAATAACTATAAATTTTTATCACCACCAACAAATAATTGTACGCCTGTACAGTTTGCATAAGACAACTAGCTAAGAACTATAAATCTATCATCACCAACAAATAATTGTGCACATGTGCAGTCTGCATAAGATAGCTAACTAATAACAATAAATATATCAATTAAAGAGTGCGAAATTTTCACAGGCACAAAATAAAAAATGAAGAGAACAGTTTACTAGAGAACATAAAACTGTAGATTCTTTTACATTCATTGTTTATATAGCTACTAAAATTTGATGATTACAAATGACAAAAATATGTGGAGATGAGGTGGCTATATATATTATAGGAGGCTGAACTTGTAGTACTGAAGAAGTAGTGGGACTTTTAGGTTATATGTGGCATCCACTATCATATATAGTTTCGTCTTTCACTCTTTGTATTAGCTACACTACACATTGTGTTTGTTTTTTTTTTGGGAGCCAATTACCCCTTTCTTGATTTCAAAATGAGGAATCAACTTTAGTAGCAGTGATTGGTTGATCATTGCTACAGAAGACCTGTGCAAATTAATAGAAAAACCATTAACTTTTGTTTTGTTAAAGCCTGCTCTTGATTTCCATGTGTTTGTACATTCTGATAGCAAGTACTTTGACAGTATTATTAACTGAAATTCTAGCTGAGCCAACTTCAAATAACATCAATAATGGTGGTATGTATCTTCATATAAAAATAAAATATAAAAAAAAACCCTTAATTTGGCACTTTCAAGTATGAGCATAATTTAGAGATCGAAAAACAATTATTACCTCAAAGGCTCAACCCACTAGAAGGGATCCTTAATTTTCGTAGGATTGAATGTGAAACTGCAAAAAAATTATGAGGAAAAGGGGTATGGTTGCTGCTGTTGTGAGATTGGGGTGGAATTAGGGAGAGGGAAAAAAAAAAGTACCTGCCATAGATTATGGATTCGATCGCCATGAAAGACACATGTAGAAAGGCACACATTTATTAAAATACTAAGAGAACCATAATATATTCATTCAGCTTTTGATAGCCATCACACACAGTGACATACACACGCACAAAAAACCCTAGTTTGGAAGCTACTTTTCACTATTGGAACAAAGGAAAAGGCCCGAATCAAACGAACCAAAGTTAGAACAAATCAAATGATGAAATGAACGCAAGAAAGAAACGTATATAAAAGATCGATTCATGCAAAAGGAGAGAGAAGAGAGAGAGAGGATGAACATACCTTGTCACCTGAGAATGTGTCGTCTGAAACTTGCCCTAACTTCAATTTTATTATTATTATTTTTTTTCATCCCCCATAGGCCTCAAAACTTGACGCCTCTAAAATTTGAGGCCCTAGGCGACCAAGAATTGTCCTAACTTAATTTTTTTTTTTTTTTTTACATCCCCTATGGGCCTCAAAATTTGAGGCCATTTGGAGGCCCTGTAAAATTTGAGGCCCAAAGGGACTAAGGCGGTCGCTTTGGGCCAGGGCTGGCCCTGTCAATCACTTAAGTCGCCTAAGTGTCTAGTGTGTCTCATTGCACTAGTTTGCATTAAAATCGTCCTTATAGTCGCCACAATCACCCCCTAACGGGCCCAATATTCTCCAACTTAACTTTGACTCTAATGCTATTTGTAATAGGACACCCACAACATAGCATGATGTTTTCCCTCCAGACCCTTAGGGTCAGTTTGGTGCAATGGTAAAGGGAGGAAAGGGAAGGGAAAGTGATGAAGGGGGATTAAAAATTTGTATTTAGCAAAAATTATTGAAAGAAAATGGAAGGATTTGGAGGATTAACACAAGGCTTCAACAGTAAATTTTGTAACCTCAAAAAAATGAGAGGAAATGAAGGGAAAGGGAAAGGGAAAGAGAGGCTTGGTGTGTGATTTTAAATGCCAAATTTGCCCTTGATTATATGTGAATTTAGTTTGCAAAACAAGAATTACAGACCTTGATTAGTTGATTTAGCAGTTGCACAAAGAGAGAGGGGCAAGCTTGAGAGTTGAGGGAAAGAGGGCCAGCGGCTGAAGCTTGCGAACGGCGAACCCGATTGGAACAGCGGGCGATGGAAACTGAAAGATCGATATGGGTTTTGATTTTTTAAACAATCTGAAATTAGGTTTTGATTTTTTGAACAATCTAAAATGATACCGATATGGGTTTTGAAGTTTTTATTCTTGCAGACAAATATATAAACTAAAATATATGGGTTTTGAACTTCTGAATCTTGTAGTAGTTTGCAGTTGCAGAGAGAGAGGGCAAGTTCAGAGTTGAGAACGAGAATAGAGATGGAGGCTGAAATGATTTGCCCTAATTTTTTTTTTCATTTTCTGGTGGCCGATCCATGGGCTTTTATATAGGAGACAAATATATATATATATTTATATTTTAAAATATAAAAAGGATACAAATATATATATATATATATATATAAATTTATATTTTAAAATATAAAAAGGATACAAATATATATATATAAATAAATTTAAATTTTAAAATATAAAAGAGCATAAGAGTAAATTTATTAAAATAATTCTCCCTCCTATTCTTCCATTTAACCTTCCCTTTATTTTTCATTCAATAATCAACTAAACATGATAGGAGACTAAAATTATCCTTCCCTTCCCTTTCTCTCATAACTAATGTTATCCTCTCCCTTCGAACCCATCCTACCAAACATCCAAACATAGCCTTAGGCCTTAGGTTTTACCAAAATATATGTACCATTTGAAAATAACAGACTTTAATA